TACTTATCTCATTAATTGTCCTGTTCCTGTTCCTCGGGGGAAATTCTTAGCTGCGCCCCCGGAAGTATGCCACGCGCAAGATGCTTCGACATTTTCCACCACGATGGCGTTATTAATTTCCTCAATGGGAGGACAAAAGGACAACGGGAATGGCAACGGCTACGGCTCCATACATTTTTGCGCATGGCTCGATTATTGAAAAATTCTTTAGCCATCACACCGAGAATGGCAAACTGTCAACACGGCCGGGAAAAACAGCAGAGCCAGCAGCAAAAACAGGACCTCTCAACTCGAAGGACCTGCAGGCTGCACTCGCCGTCGCCGCATGCCATTCAAGGCGGAGAACAGTTGGAAAAACATGAAAGTATGCCATCAACGAACGGCCTTATGCAGATCGTGGAAATAAAGGGGAAATTATGACAGAGGTGAAAAGGTTAAAGGACAAGAAAGGCACGCTAGCTTCAGAAAACAGGATAATTGTAGCCCTCAATCTTTTAAATCAACTTAAATTTTACCTTTGATTTTATCTTTCATTACCTATTTTTACTTTTTTTATTTAGGGACCGGTTTTAAATATCAATTTAGTCTCATATAATATGGGTGTTATTATCTAAACAAATAAAAAATATTTAATTATAAAAGTTTTCTTTACATATGATTATAAAAGATTCAATAGAATATTTAAATAATTGCTTGCAAACGTACATTTTAGAAAAACACTAAGATTAAACTAATTTTGATGTTTGACATAAATTTTGATTCGCTTAAGCCTTACTTATTAATGTGATCCGAAAAGTTTCTTACCAAAAGCGAAAACCATTTAAAAGCGCATAAGATGACTTGATATCTTTTTCGCTAATCGAATCTAGAGAACTTTTAATCCGCAAACTTTCTAATCAAGTTGGTAAAACAAACTCCTGCTTTTAGTTATAAAAGCATAGCATGGTTATACAAAATTGCAAATAAAATAAAATAAACAACGTCTGCAGCCGCGCTTAACAAGGCAAACCAACATTTGTGATTTGTTTTATGGTGTGACACATTAGCGAAATTGCGCTAAATAATTTTCGGGCTATAAATTTAATGATGCATTAAGCGCGAAGTTCTTAAGGCGTCGCATCCTGCCCAGCATTTCCCGCCTATCCTCGTGGGCGTCGTTTTCCTAACCCCTGCCCTCCTAACCATTTCATTCCATTCATTTGCAATCATTTGGCGGGTCGTGACTCCAGTTTTTGCCAAACCGGAAGTTCCCGGCCGCTTGCCAACTTCCGGCGAGGCTGCGACGCGTCGTTGGGAATTTTAACATTTCAACTTGGCACATTTGGCGAATTATTCAAATTCTTGTCATTGCAGCAAAAGGAAAAAAGTCTCGAAAAGTAAAAAAAAGTCAAAAGAAGGCACCCAAAGAGAATGAAATGAGTGAAATAAACTAAAAGGCAAAGGAAAAAGAGGAGCCTCATGGAATTGGCAAAGATTTATGTCAGCCTGTGTGTGCAATGTACATATAAATGTTACGTTAGGAGGCCTTTTTTTTGGTAGCTAGCTGGCAACCAAGTTAAGAGCGCAAATAAAATGTTTGCTCACATTTTTGTAATTTTGGAAAAATTGCTCGTTTATTGCCGGGGCATGTTTTTCCCAGGATTCCCGTTTAAATACAAAGCTGGGAATTCAGAGTAAGGAATACCAAGTCGAAAGGAAAGGGGCCAAGAAGGTAAGAAGGACGACAAGTGTCGCATTGTTTTATGTTTTCTTTTTTTGTCGAGCTTGCTCCTTGAATAATTAATATTGCGCATACGACGTGTTGCTGCGACTGCCAGTCAGCACATCCCTGGCCACCAGGATGCCGCTCACTTTATTATGCTAATCAGCGCCGACTCTGTGCATATGCAAATTGCAATATCTGCCAACGAACTCCAAACTGCGAGTCATTAGCCTGCCCAGAAATACCAGGGCGAGAGTTTTCTCTTGTCTCAAGCTAAGCATAAATTATGATTACTTAATGCCACATAAATCAAACTGAAGTAAGGCAAACTTCCACCACTCAAGATTTTGATTACAATAATACATAGCAACTCCTGCCGAGTCAGCTAATTTGTCAAACGACGAGCTGTGGGGCTGTGGAATTTTGTCACTTAATCGGTGTAACAACATTACCATCCAGGAATTGCAAATCAGCCAAATTCGCTTTGGAAATTCAACACAATTTTAATTGATGGTTGCCAGGGAGTTGTGGGAAAGAGTTGCGTACCTTTAAATTTTCGACTGTCATAAAATACTAATTACTCATTGGTTTTGTGCACTTTGAGATCAAATATCCTACACACAAATAATATATGACCCAGTTTTAGAATTTCTAAAGTGATTGGAAGTTAATGATGAACTTAGTAAATTTAGAGAGTTAGAGAGGGAAATTATACAAGTTTAAGGAAGTTACTTTTAAAATTTAGAAAAATGGTTTAACTCAGATAGACATTTATGAAACTGCCTATCCCAAGGCAATAAATAAATTCAAACTTCAAATGAATTGAAATACGATTATTTTTCTAACTCAGTCAGCTTAGTCAAATTACCAATAAACACTGTTGTCTCAATTTAATTAAATCCTTTGTGACGACTTAACTAATTGCATCCAATTTATTTTTTGACTTAAATCTTGTCTTAAGGAATTGAAATAATTTCTTATGTCAATCGACAAATAAGATTAATGATTTAATTAGCTTTGCCAAATCACTAGTAAACACTATTATATAAATTGTATTGAGTCCTTTGTAAAAGCTAAAGTTATAACGCTAAAGGCAAAATGTTCTTAAACAGTTGATAATATGATTGCCATTTTGCAACATTAAAAGGAGAGACAAAACAGCTGCTTATTGAGCTCAGGGGAAAATCAATGTTCAGTGGCCATTAGCAGGAACCTCTTTAAAGCCCAGGACACAGGACACAGGGCAAGGGACTCCTGTTGCTCCGAAGGATGTACTGCGGATGTGGATGCCTCTCCGCCGGACACTGGGCTCCGGACTTGGCTGCGGTTCAAGAAACTCACAAGTGACACTTGCTCGAAAGATAAATGCGAACGTAACTTTTGCCATCAAATGTTGCCAATCTAGGGAGGAGCTGCACTGCAATTTGGTAGAGTTACCTTCGTCCATTCAGCACTCGAGCGAATGGAGGACTCCGGGTCCTGGCACTGCCCATCCTTATGCCCCATCCCCTACCCTCCATCCAGCAACTCAGAGGCCGAGGAAGTCACATTTACTTACTGATTTATGGTCGCATCCGTGCTCCGGGCTTTATCTGTTGAGTTTTTGGCGTAATCATTTCAAGTCAAAATGTTTTCAAAAGGCCCCACTCACTCAGCCCAGCAGGACCCTGACTCGAATCCTGCGATGGCAATGGCTCGTTGATAAATGACAGCAAGTTTATCTCCACATTTGCCCATAAATTCCACACTACAAAATGGTAGCCCCACTTCGACAGGAGGTTGGTTGCTCCTCCTTTGGTTCCGACTTTAAATTATGTTTAGTGCGAAAGGATTGCAGTTAGCATATTCCCGTTTAAAGAAGGGAGGAGTGACTGCCCCTAACCGGACAGGAAACGCCTCATGTGCCAGTTTAGTTGGGGAATTGCTGAAGAATTTATGAACAGAGGCATTTTCAAGTGAATGCCTCACGATGTGTGAAACTCAGAGCCTGGGGGAATATTAAAGCGAAATATTAATAAATAGCCGGGGCACTCTTGTTTGCCTTGGCACTCGGTTATTATTCTTCGATATGCGTATATGGGGATCGCTTTGAACCGAACCCTTTCTCCCCTGGGGGCCAAACAATGTCCGCACCCAGCTGAAAAATTGCATTTGCATTTGCTAAATAATTTACCACACATATCCATATGTACTGGCCTCGGGGCGCCTGTAAATTGAAGACAAATGGAGCCAACTGACCAACCGAAAGTGTTTTATTTTCATTTTGTTGTTTTTATGGCTTGGCCCCAGAGTTACAGAGGCCCCAGTGGGCAAAGTGTTTTAAAACAAACGAAACACAGAAGCGTTCAACTAATGACCCAAACCCGATGTATTGTATAGGATTTTCCGCCTGCTAAACGCGTTGACGTGCTGTTAATTAATATTAAACTCATTTCCACATTCTGGCACTGAAATGCCAAAGCAATCGTAGGGGTGGATGTACACTGGCAAAAAAGAGCAGTAAGTCCAAGGATTTCATAGTAAATTCAAATATTTTCCATATATTTTCATAGATTGTGGTTTTAATTTACTTTAAATATGGAATATTAATTATAGTTACTTTAAAGATTTTATTCTTCGATTTTAGTATGCAACTTTTTTTAAGACGTAAAATATTAATTGCTAACTGATTTGAATATTTTAGAATTAGGCATACAATTTATTACGTTTGGTATTGATAATTATGTTTTGATTTTGATTCTAATATTTAATAGAGATTTTAATTCAATATTTGGTATTTTTTACTATTATTTTTTTTTTCAGTCTATAGATGGGGACTCCACCTTCTCGATTCCGGTCGCGTTTCATTGAATGTGTGTAATTATTTCCTGGCTGTCCTGCTGCCAGACTTCAGAACCAGCACCTATTTCGAACTGTCCAAAATTCACTAAGCCCATTAGGAGGCGCCCTAAATATACATACGTGCCCAGGATTACTTAATGAGAAGGCAGTAAATTCTAGCCCAAGCCGCCACACATAATTCAGGCAAATAGTGTATATGTTTTCCATTTAAATTTAAGCTAGTTAAGTACACTAGTGATCCTGTTTGCATGTTGACTTCACACATTACGCATACGCCCCGTCAGACGGCGTGTCCTTAATTACAATTGATGCCGATTGGCAGGCAGATCACGCAGCCAGTGCGCCAAACTAATTAAAATGTTTATCAACTTTGTAATTGTCACACCCCAGTTGTGGGCGTACGTGATTGTGGTGGTAAAAAGAATTGATATTCATTTGTTTTATGGTTAAAACGAATTTATTCATTGACTTCTAGCAGTAAACTGATGAGTTCCAGGGGGATTTTTTGCATTTGGAGGCATAGGCAGCCTGGCAATCGCCTCCCTTTGGCCAAAGTGCTCCGATGTGTGGTACTCCCGATCCGAAGACTGTCCCAACTGGTCCACCGAACTGGAGGGCCTCAGTACTATGTCCATTAGCTCGCCCAGCAATCCACTTTCGTGGTTCAGAGGCAGTGCAGCATGTTCACAAATGAGTCTTAAGAGACAACTTCTTCCAGGCAGACCCATATTCTCGAGGACCATCTCAATGCCTCGGTAGATAATCCAGCGATATAATGCTCCATAGGTCGAATCCTGATCCTCCTCCCTGCCCGTAATGGCCATGGGTTTAAGGTAGACCCTCGTGATTCCGTGGAGTTGGTGGGCAGAAAGTACTCCGCCTTGAGCACATAACCCGAGGTAACCGACTCGAAGTGCAGACCCTCCACGGGTATACCTATGCCACCGATAAACTGTACACGCGTGGGACTCGTCGGCGGAAAGATCAGCGATCTGCTCAAGCGTTTCAGGTGACCCTCGCCGGAGCAGCGATGCAACCATATGAGGAGGCACAGAAAACCCACACAGAACTCCAGTCTCATTTTGCTTCCGCTTAGGTCGAGAATTATCTGAGAACTGAATCTCGACGGCCTGGGATTTTCACACCTTACCTCGAACTCGAACTCACTTTCTTCTGGCGGCGGCTTGCGCTTTCCACTTGTTTGTCTTGGCCAAAGACGCTTTTAAGCCCGAAACCAGTGCAATTAGCACTTTGGTGGCAACTCACTGATCTAGTTAAACCAATTTCACTAACGACCATGAAACAGCCGCCGCCAAAGTGCAACATAGAGAATATTTTATGGGTAAATAAATCCTATCAGAAATTACAAATTAAGCCATGTTAGCATAATCATCAGATGAACATGTAAGCCATGTATAAGGCCATAATCAAATTTCAGACAGCCAGCATTTCTTTGCCCAACTCTTGCAATCACATTTATCGTGAGTTTAAAGACCCAATACAGACCAAACAAAAAAAATGAGAATCGTATTCCCGGTGGCACTGTAAATATTTACCCCATTCATACGACTTCGACTTACAATCTTCTTATAGTCGCAAGTAATCCAACTAGTTTAAGCAACCTCACATGCAGTAAAGTGCACAATTGCATGAGCCAAGGGGAAAAGGATTGCGAAATGCGTATGAGGATTGCCATGGAATGTGTGAGCATTGGCATTAAGACAGTGAACGGAGTGCTGGGATGATTGGGATTGGGATTGGGATGGGATTGGGGATGGGGACTGAGATAGGGATTGGGTCCTCTGCCGGAATGCGGAGCGGAAGTTATGCCCTCAACGACTTGAGTAAGTTAAGTGAATTGCCGTTGCATCGGGCGCTGCGAAGGAAAAGCAGCGGAAAATGCGGGATGAGCTCTGAAAAGGCGTAGCCAGGGACTTGAAAAAAAGTGTAGAAAAAAAAACAAAACAGAACATCCCCCCAGGATGTGAATCCCCCTTGGGTGGCGACACTGACCTGGACAGGAAAACGAGTAAAGCTGCGATAGAGATAGAGATAGAGATAGAGAGGGAGAGATTAGAGAAAAGCGAGAATCAGCACGAAAACTACAAGAATATTTTCACTCCGAGTGGGTAAAAAGGAAACGCACGGAAAAAGCACAGAAGCTGCAGCAAAAACCAGTTGATTCCCCGATTCCCCAGCCATTCTTCCTCAGTCTAGACAATGTATTGTGTTGTATTTTATCAGAGCTATTTATTAAACGGACGATTAAACGTTAGGATGACATTGCCATTGGTCCACATAAACGGATATTTCAGAGCATGGGGTTTTATCTATTCAAAAGATTGCTAACTTGTGGGATTCGTGTGGCAAAATATTTGATAAAAATATTTTTACACTGAACATTTTATGCTTTAAATAAAGTTACTCCACTAAACAGGATAATGCACAACATGGTGCTTAGCTGTTCAAAAAATACTTAATTGTGGAACTATTGATATAATATTTATAAAATAAACGTAATTAAAGATCAGCTGATCAGTTTAATCAGAGCTCACTTGGAGATGACCTCGTGATTGCTTCCTTTTGGCACGGCCTAAGCAAATACATTGGACTTAGCTGTTATTTCGTGTAGGTCGTGATAAGCTCGTGAAACGGCCATGGTTGCCCATCTCTAATCTGCGCTTAGCTTTCAACTAACGGTCCTTTCTCAAGGCGATCGATTTCTATTGATCAGTAGAGGGAGGGGAAATATGGAAAGGGCCGCCATTTTAAAAAATACATTTCAATAAGTTACCTTATAGCTACCAACTGTCACTTGCTATAATTTCTGTTTGCCTGGTGTCTGAGATCCACAAATCCAGCACTTTGACTGAAAAAATGTTATTTGCTCGTCGAGAAAATTGTCAAATTGCTAGATTTCTTAAATTCAGACACCAGGCGAACATAAACGTTAAGCAGGTGGAAAACGATCAGCTGATTATCTTAATTCAAGCTTTCTTAGAGATGCTCTAGTGATTTCTTCCTTTTGGCACGGCCCAAGCATATACATAGGACTTAACTGTTACTTTGTGCATATCGTGACAAGCTCGTGACAAGATCGTGATAAGCTGCTGACACGGCCATGGTTGCTCATCTCTGGTCTGCGTTTGTCTCACAACTTACGGTCCTTTCCCATGGAGATCAATTCCTATTGGTCAGTGGGGAAGGGGAAATATGTAAAGGGCGGCCATCTTGAAAATTAACAGTTATTTAAGTTCAATTTTAGCTACCAGCTGTCACTTGCTAAGTTTTCTGATTGCCTGGTGTCTGAGACCCACAAACCAGCACTTTGACTGAAAAAATGTTATTTACTCGCCGACAAAATTGTCAATTGCTAGATTTCTTAAATTCAGACACCAGGCGAACATAAACGTTTAGCAGGTGGAGAAACGATCAGCTGATTTGTTTAATAGAGGCTAATTGGAGATGGCCTCGTGATTGATGACTTTTGGCACGACCTATGCAAATGCATAGGACTTAACTATTATTTCGTGTAGATCGTGACAAACTCGTGAAACGCCCATGGTTGCCCATCTCTAATCTGCGCTTAGCCTTCAACTAACGGTCCTTTCTCATGGCGATCGATTTCTATTGGCCAGTAGAGGGTGGGGAAATATGGAAAGGGCCGCCATTTTGAAAAATACTGTTTTATAAGTAAGCTTACAGCTACTTGCTAGGTTTTCTGTTTGCCTGGTGTCTGAGAGCATGAAATTAGCCGTGAAACTCGCAAGTGCAGATCAATTTCGCCAAAAAAAGCATTTTAAATTCCTAAAGCGCCTAGATGTAGGCATAAAATATTTTCATGTTTTTTTTCAAAAAATGGTCAAAAATTAAAGCTCGTTTCAATGCCAATCGATAGGGAATTTAATAATTATGTGTAAACATTGCTCATTTGAATTTGTTTTCGTTTATAAGGTATGCTCTTTTGAGTAATTCACGTGAGCATTTTCTGAAAATTTAATTATAAATAGGTAATATCCCCGCAAATGCCACTTTAAGTAGATTGAAAATCCAGTAAAAGAGAAGTAATTTATCCATAGTTTTTCTTGCCATTTTCATTTTCATTCCCATTACCATTTCCACGGCGATTCCCGAAACTGGAGCACCGCAAAGGCAATAAAAAGTTGGACAATGCAATGCGGCAATGTGGAACTTGCAGCGGAGGCCACGAAACTTTCACCTGCAGCACTTTATGTGCATCGTTAGCTGCCGTAGTAGTGAGCTGAACTTCGGTTTCGGGCTAACGAATATGCAAATTTAAGGTAAAAACTTGCCATTCGAATGGCGTTCCCCAAGGCGCTTGGCTATCGATTCCCATCGAGCGAGCCAAATCAATTATGTTGACAGGCCGGGGAAACCCCGTCGCAGAGGTAAATGGCAACAGTTTAAATGGCAGAACGTTTAGGAGACGGGCGCACGTGTCGTATGCGTAATGAGGGCTCCCCAACAGAACAGAAATGCATTCATCACAGCCTGGGTGATGGAAATGGGTGGATGGGTGGGTTTGGGTGGTTGGGTGGCTGTATTTGCAAGTGTCGTCGTCACATCTTGACCTCGCCGAGCCTCGAAATTACCTCCTTAGTGCTCCAGGGTGCCGCAAATCCTTTTGCCCACCGAAGAAGGAGGAGGCGAACTCGTCTGGCAAATGAATGTGTCTTACTTATGCTTATTTAGTTTCTCAGCCAGGGAAAGGAGCATGGGGTAATGAGTTAAATTATTATGCAAACGACGGCTCCATGTCTTGAGCTGGAAATGTGGAAATGTGTGCTCCACATAAACAAAACACTCGAAATGTGTGCCGGGGACACACACAGAGCTCCTGAAGCCTGAAACAGCCAGAAGCCAGGCGAAGAAGCTGCTTTCCAGGAGGCCAGGCGACATAAATGTAGATTAGATTGGGAATGGAGGGGCCAGGAAGCAGCTCCACTCAATGCAAGTGGCATCATTTGGAGCTCTTCATGGGAGCATCTCCCAATCCCAAGCCCAAAGCCAAACCATATATACCCAATAGCCCCAGCTCCGTGCATCAATGCCAGCCATATTATTTATGGACTTTGCACACAATAATTGGCAAGCTTTCCGCTCCAAAGCGCAATGGTCAGCAGTGGGACAGTTTCGCATTGGGATCGGAAATCAGAAATCGGAATGGTATGGTATGGTATGGTATGGTATGGGAATTGGGTTACAGATGGGAATCAGAATCGGAATCGGATGGGGAGTGGGAGTGGCATTGCTGGTTCGTTGACTCCGGGCCAGCTGAATTGTTCGGTGTTTCGGGGCTATAAAAAGCATCACTGAACAGGTGTATTTGGCAATCAGTTCGAATTGATGATTGTCAGATAACAAAAGAAAATATGATAGGAGCCTTAATATGAGAAATGTGTATAAAGTCGACAATTAGGGTATCAGGTAATTGGGTTTATTACTTAAAGAGCTTTAATAACATGTTATATCAAATGTAATTGAAAATTATTCTTTTATATATATGTAATGATGTTGCGACTCCCTTACTGCTATAAATATAGTATATTATAAATGCATATCAGGTAACCAGCACACCTACCCTTTACTCTTTAACAAAGGAGTAAAATTGTTCAATAAATTGTTAAACTGAAATACGACAACATGAATTGCGTTGGGTGGAAATGCATCAAAAATCATTGGAATCATTGCCACAGACATAGGTAAATTTGTAAATTCTTTGTTTCCTGACATCATGATATCCATATATCCTTGATCTTGACGCTAGACCTCACACATTTGGCCCCCAACATCCGAAAGGAAATCAATTTACAAGCCAAATATTTGGGCCATAACAAGCCCCAAAACTGGCTCTAATTATGCATGGTCACCATGCGGGTCACTTGCCGAATTTAAATGCAAAGCTTGATGGGTCAAAAAGGTGTCCACGTGTCCGAATCCGTACTTATGCTATATGCTTGTTTGGCACGGCCCGAATGTCTGGTGAAATGTACATTCTACAATGTACATACACATATGCAAATGACCGGAACACAGCAAACATTCTCATTCTAATCGGCAATTGTGTTTGTGTGTGCTTTTTGTTGATGTTGAGTTGTCTTTGCTTGTGTTGCTGATTTTGCCATGGGAACTTCAATTCTGTGCCAACGAATCGATAGTATCCTGGCCATAAAAGGATTTATAGGATTGCAGGGGGTATTTTCAGTTAAACAACTTTGTCATTTTGGTGGTTAATGGGAGTAGATTCAATATACTCTGTCACTAATGTACAAATATGCGGGTACATATTTTAAAGCATTCATTCTAGTTAAATATATATATATAGTTCTTAAAAAGTTTCAGTGGAACAACCCATTTAAAAATCTAACCACTTTCCGAAGTAGAGTGATATCTATATTTCCTTTTCTTGGCCTAATTGATTTTTATTTTATGTAAATTCTTAAACATTCCCCTGAGTTCGACACTGCCGTATAACAAGGTTAAAGTCTGCCAAACTCTTATTAAAAGTTTCGGCACTGACCGAAGCTCTTTATTTAGTTACCCTGCCAAGAACGTGGGTGGCTTGAAGCCCTTTAAATGAGATCAAAATGAAACACCCGGCCAGGACCCAGTACGGCAACAGTATTCAAATATTTAATCCACCCGGGCAGACTGCACTCACAATAAACCCACTCACCCACTCACCATTGGTGGGGCAGAACCCACATAAAGAACAGCTGTGTCCACCGTGCAGAATTTCATGACACACCGAATGAAAAACCAGGGAGTTGGGTTCGTTGGGCTGGGAAATGGTATGGGAATGGGGTTTGGGATGTCGCCTCTCTGGCCTTTTCGTGTTTAATTGAGTTTGAAATAGGTGCCAGCTTCTCTCTGGCCCCCCCAGTTGGTGGGCTCTAAAAATTGGCTTAGTTGTGAGTCCCCATCACAACAGAACCTCTGGAATATATATATGGTCCACATATGTACATTTATGCATTCCTGGAACTCTTTAAGTTGGCATCTGCTTTGTTGATTTGATTTAATACTTTTGAAGAATTTGTGGCGGCATAAACAACGACGATTGCCTATAAAGTGGCTCCGTTAGCAGCCCGAGCATTCGCTTTGGAATATCAAAATTTAATCCGTAATCGGCCCAAATCCCTTGCCCCCACCAGTAATTCCGTTTTATGTTTGCCCAACAATCCTTTCGCCCAATTCATTTATTTCAATTGTTGCCGGCGCTGCCGTTGTTCCCAATAAAGACCGTAGTCAACTATACGGCGTAATAAGCACTTTTTATTCTGGAAGCATAGTGAGCGCGGCATTTTTATTGTTTCCGGGGGCGCCCAGATCGACAGTGGGTTAAGCCTCTAGATTTATTGGATAAAAATATGGCGAGGGGCTTAAAGTGGCAATAAAAGTCTGCAAAGGAATCTGGGAATTTTAATAGCTGTCTTTATTATATAAGCGTGGGTCTTAGTTTTGACACATCCACACACATTATGACTAAATTAAAATTTTAAAGATTATGATACGATCCTCGAAAATTTAAGGTACTTTTAGGACTAGTTTATTTTGAAGGTAATTTTTAGTTAAAAGTTATAGGTTTCTTTTAAACCTATTTAGTTTTCAAGCTTCTTATCTGAAATATAAATAGTAAAATTATATTCGATTAAATTAAATCATAAAAAATATAGAAGATGTTAAGATATTTCACATCCATTGTAGAAACTTTCAGTTCCACTTCGCCCACGCCCCCAGCCTTTCCCAAATGGGCGTGGCTGATGGTGCGCGCTCTTATTTGCCGACTTTCAAAAAACCAGCCTAAAGTTTGCCAACATTCGTTTTATTTTATAACCCGAAACGAATAAAACAAAGCAAAGTTTCAAACTTTTTGTTTAGTCCTTGAATGACATCGTTGTCTCCCGACTTATTTTTATGTGCCAGCGGATTGAAGCTCCGCCCCCAAAGGTAAGCAGGTGGTGCCCGAAATTTACTTACCAAGTACTTATTTGCCTATTTCAAAAGCCATTTGTATAAACGGCAACGGCTCGGGACACCCCTCTCCACCAAATCCCCCAAGTCCCAAGAAATGTAATAAAATAAGCCTCGACTTGACTTGGCAGCTGCATAAACAAATACCTGATAAAGATGGCTAGAGGGTCCAAGAATGGGTCCTCTCTGGACCCGGGCCACTCGAAAGAATTTGCATAAAATGTTGCAGCATTAGCCGAAACAGGACCCATTACACATTGGGACAATCAGCGGATTCCCCCGCGAGCTCCGGTATTTTTTATTAAATTTTATTATTATGTTTTGCATAATTCTCCCTTTTTTATTTCTTGAAATGGCCCCCAAAAAATTAGCAGAGGTATGCAATGGCGAAAAACCCTTGGCACTTAGCCGGGCTTCTAAGATCCCCGGCCAAATACTTTTTGGCAAACTTCCGAGGCTCTTCAAGTGGAAGGCTTTGATTTAAATTTACACAAATTCGTTTAAGGCCCGCGAATCCGAGAACTTTAACAATTCCCGAGGAAGACCTTAAATAGAAGTCAGCCATAGGATATATATATTTACAGCACCCCGGGGACTTTGGAAATCGGAGCCAGAAGATAGCCGCCAAAGTTCAGAGCGCGACCGCAGAAAACTCGAATGCGACAATTAATTTCAGTGAATTATGACCGCAGAGTGGAAAATGGCGCTAATGTGACGGCCTTTGCCAATTTGCTGTTTGCTCGGTGCAGTTTTTGGGGCCAGAACCGAAAAACACGAACAGCTGTCAGAGGGCATCCGTTTTTCGTTGGCGGTGTCCGGTGAACTTTTCGGGGGCACGGCGACCGCAGACCGAAAAAGACAGTCGGTTCGAGGACAATACCGAGGGATATCCCCCGTTTCCATGGTTCCCTGGCGTGTCGTTAGCAATATGACAGCTAGAAACCAAAACCGAACAAGAGCTCGAACCCTGAAAACGTTGCGTATACGCGATATGCAGCGAATGCAGCGAACCTTCGAAACTGTCACAGCCACGCCAATCTGGGCTTAGAAACAAGGCGTCGATCTGTGTTGCCATAATTCATAGCCAAACATTTCAGCGCCGCGGCTCTAACTCTAACTAACACTCATACTCACACTCACGCTTTTCCATTGTTCGATGCACGTGCCCGGGAAAACACAAAGGATGAATCCAGGATAGCGGAAAAAACCACGCAAAAACGCAACAAAATGGCAGCCGGAATGGAGGAAAAACACGCGGAAGTCGCGAGCTTAGCAAGCTGAAAATGCTCGTAAAGTACAATGAACCGCAGAAGCTGAAAGGCGGTGAATTCTGGGTGTCTGGAGCTAGGATGTGGGTGAAGTTGAGTGGATCTGTGCTTGTGTCCCGGCGAAAAGCGTAGAGGCGTTGGCTTTATTTACCCGGAATCCGTGGAGCATAAGGAGGGGTACGTACTTTTCGCGAAACTGATTGTAACAGTGCTGCCACCTAGATAATGAAAGTGAGAAATTTTTTAAAACTTTTAAATTTGATACTAATATGAGTATTTTATCAAGTCCAATTTTTTTTAGTATTTAGGAAACATTCGAGGCTATGGTATTAAGAACTGAAACTGAAAAGAGCTGCGTTACAAAGTTAATAGGATATTAAACAAATATCTCGGTAATTCGTATGGTTAATCATGAAATGCTTTCGAAAATGTAATGCTTTAAGAACATTATCATTTTTCACTTTAGCGTTGTATATAAGATCTGTCAGAAAAACGGTCACACTGTAACCCATAAAATACTTATTTATTAAGGTACCCAAGGGTAACCCAAAAAATACTTAATTTGTAAGGGTACAACTACTACTTGGGTACTAACTTAAATGAATAGTTCTTAGTCCAGGAAGTTCTCAGAAGTCAAAGGATTTGGCAACAGAGTGAGTACCGTACCGCGAATCTCCCAGTCAGGCCACTCCAAATGCAGCACTCTCACTTGCATTTCGCTTTTTCCGCTGCACTTGGCACCATTTATCCCCCGTGAGTGACACCTGAAAGAGTGACAGATGGTGGTGACGAGGAGCTGGAGAAGATTCCAGCTCCTGCACTTTATTCCAGCTCTTAATTCGATGACAACAATTGAGAACCACAAGCCACCGAGTCGCTAGCTGCCGAATCCCTGGGTTAATTTAATGTTGTTCACATCGCAGTACTCCTTAACGTCTTTGTAGTTGCTATAGGGTGTATTCCTGGCATCTATTCGCTGGATGGGTGTGGACAAGTCCTCCAGATCCTCTTCTATCCTATGGTAGACGTCGCTCATCTTGCGACCCTTGCAGACAGTAAACTCCCCCTCGTCGAAGAGTTTGCGTCGCATTTGAAAGGTCAATCCATGTGGAAGCAAGGTTACACTTTTCAATTGCGAGGTGCACAAGGAGGAGTTGCTCGTCCCCGACATTGTCAGACTATCTGACTCCAGTTTGGCCGCCAAGGCCATCTCATCTATCGACGGGGTCTTCTGCGGATACGGAGTGGACGACCCCTTGGAATGCATGTTTCCATAATCCCGATTGACGGACACCCGATCATTATCCAAGGCGGGGTTTATCTTGAAGCCGACGGGAAAGTGGAAAAGGTTCTTGGTTTGGCCCTTCTTCATTTTGGTTAGGATGCCTATTTTGGTGGATTTCCTGGCTGCCACAGTCTCAGTTTTGAAACCCTTTCCGGTGAAACTCTGGCTTTTCCCCAGCATTGTATGTCTTTCTGTTTTTTATTTAGTGTTATTCAGGTTGTTGCTTGTATCATGTATATATTTTGCCTGCTCTTAAACTATATTTTCTAGGCCTATTTAGATTTCCAAACCTTTAATAAATATACCATACATTTCCATTTTTCATATATTTAATTGCCCATATCAAAAAACAAAATCCAAACAGCACAACAACTTTTTCTAAAACAAAGAAAATAAAATTTATAGCAATTAGAGCTAAATTGGTTGAAACCCGAATATCAAAAAGTCATTCAAATTGATTGAATAGCTTTTGCCTTTAACTCTTCAATATTTCTATTTCAACTTTAAAATACAAATATACATACAATTACGCTGATAGCGAAGTCAAACCAAGTTAGTCTAATTATGTTGAAGTAAAGGCCAAAATGGGTCACAAAAAGTCGCCAATCTTGGAAACTATAAACAAATCAGGCTTCAGAAAACTTTGCTGCCACCCAAAAGTTGATGGCGCCCGCAGTTTGAAAGTTTTCCATTCAATTCACTTAAGACTCTTTTCGCCTTTCGCGTTTGCATTTTGATGTGGCAATATTTTCCCACCCCGCAATTTCCACTAACTCCTACCTTGATGGCCCCGTTTGCAGTGAACTTTTCCTGGCCAACGGAAAACTAGGCAAAAAACCCTGGCAGACCGACGACCAACGACCAACGGACTCGTTGCAGCTAATGGTGTTTATTGCATTTACTCCCCAGCTGCCACTTAAATCGGCGACACTGTGGGCGGGTTTTGGGCTTGGGTTTGGGTGTGGGTTTGGTGGTTTACCAGGTGGGGGCTTGGTGTTCCAGTCTGGATGGCAGGAGCAGCAGCAACACCTGCAGCTACGCAAATACCCCGCAGGCGGCAGACCGATGGACGTTGGACTATAGACTCTGCAAACCCACATCTCCATCTCCACCAGCTGCCTTCTCCGCTCGTGTGGAAGAAAGTGCAAAGTAAATGCACAACACACAGTCTGCCTGGCGCCGCCTCTGGTGAACAGGTGAACCAGCAGGGGGCGTGGCAGGTGGCAGGATACGGGAGGCAGGACCAAGGACCAAGGCTGCCACAGCTGCGGGTGCAGCCAAAAGAGCAACTCACCAAGCAAGAAAGCAAGCAACCCAAGCTGTTGTGGCACAGATTTGGCTGACGCAAAGTTTGATTAAATCACATGACAGCGGTGGAGGGAGGAGGCTGGCCAGCGGCTTCTGGGACATGGATTCAAGTGGCTTGATACCAGTGCACAGAGAAAAAATTCTGAACACTTCAATTCTATATTTTCAATTTTAACAAGAGAGGTTTCGTTACTCAGCTAAACGGAGTTCGAGGAAGATGGAGATATGCATGCAGAAAAGGCGCTGTTTCCGGGAATGCACATAACTTTTAAAACTTACGCCGCGCAAGAACCTCAAGAATCTGCATACCAAATCCCAACGAAAACGCTTTCCTCTTCCGAATATATAAATAACAAGTGTAAAAGATGTAGCTGTCTAAGGAATGTTTGATGTAAGCTATTGAATCTTAATAAATAACAAATACTTAAAAAGAAAACAAATTTTATTAAACAATTTCGGCCTTATATAAACGGAGTTTTCGATTTTCAGTGCAGTTCCACAGAGCCAATGAGCCAGTGACTGCGGGCGTCGGGAAAGTAAATAAATTCATTAAACGTTTAGAGCTCGCCAGGTGGTTTGGTCCGGTTGCCTTTTGTGCCCGGGTAAAATATTCAGTTACCCGGATTAAGTGGATTACCATTCAGCAAGCTGCATTGTCCCACAATCTCAGGGGCTCCTGACAAAAGATTGCTGCGGCGGCGATGTAGTATTGTATTCGGAATGCTATTTTAGGATCCGATATTAACAGGAATTTTGGGGGTTTTTTCTTTCTTACACGGCTTTTGCTGGGCGTCGCGGATGGCATTTAAAGCTCGAAGATCACACGACGCATCACTAGAAATTTTAAGAGGACCGTGAGGAGTACAGGATAGGAAAGTAGAACTGTAGTTCGTCAATAGACACGTACAAAAAGATGCGGATACACAAACGGTAACGGGTACGGATACGTCTACGACAGACACAAATGGATGAGGTAACGTCTAGGAAGGGATGCGGCAACGTTTACAGATGGATGCGCAACGTCTAAGGGATGGAGAGTCATGGGAAGCCTCTGGGCTGGGCGGATTGAGCAACAGCTCCCAGGTATCCTCCTCCGAATCAGAGCCAGAGGCTGGAGGATCATCGGACTTCGGGGCCTGGCAGCGGTTGCACTTGGCGCGGTACCAAAAGTTCAGATTGAAGCAGAATGCGCAGGGCCAATCGGTCTTCTGTGGCCGCCAACGACGGGCATTGCTGGCTCCCGATCCAGATGCCCCCCGATCTTGGGCAGCGGTCAACTTGGCCGCCTGGCACCTGTTGCAGCTGGCGCGCCACACGAAGTTGCTGTTCCGGCAGATCATGCACACCCAGTTGTCGCTGGCCGGCTTCCATCTCAGCGCCCGCTGGCGACGTTGGTTTTCCGGGCAATTCAGCTCCTTGGGATAAATATAGCGGACACTGCCTCTCCGAGTGGACAGATAGGCGGGCAGCACGGTCAGCGTTTGACCCATGAACTTGGCCCCACTCAAACAACTAATGGCCGCCTGTGCCGAAAAGGGAGTCGTATAGGTAATGGTGGCCTCACCCTTGGAACGACCCGTCATCTTGTTCTTGTAGACGAATATCTTCGGCTTGTTAGTGGCCTCGTCCGTCTTGATCATGCCCATCTTGCCAAAGAACACGATAATATCGTTCTTGGTCACATTCAGGCGCATGCCCAGCACAAAGATCGTATCCTGCTGTATGACGTACTGCTCCTGGCCAACATTCAGGTAGGGGTTGTGCCTGGGGAGCGGCAGACGGGGCATGAAGTCGGCGGCGGTGCGGGGGAAGACCATGTAGGAGGTGTTGCCACCCATGCTGGGCGAGAAGGGCGGTCGCTGCTCCCGCTGCTCCTCCTCGGTTAGCTGGTTAAGTGCTCCAAACTCCCCCATTTCGTTCATCTCTTCCCGATCCACTTGCTGCTCCCTTCTGTTGGTCTCCATCTCCTGGTTCAGAGAATCTCCTGGCGATGTGGGGCATGAGGATGAGGTGCTGGCCACCACAGAGGAAGAGGGTGATATGGACATGGGCTCGTCCAACTGAGCCGCCGCCTCCTCCTCTCCTCTCTCTACATTGCAGAAGCGGTCCTCATCCCGGCCTATTAATAAATTTCCAGTGGCATCGCCGCTGCCGTTCTCATAGCGATAGATATCATTGAAAGCCCTCCGGGGACTTCGGCCATCACCCGTATTCTGTTGAGGATTGGGGTTGGGATTCAGGGCAGGTCCTAGCTCAAGATCCATAAAACTGGCATGAAACATCTGGTGCTGATTCGGATTCAGGTTCGGATTCTGGAGCTCCTCCTGTGGCTGCTGGTCAAGTTCTCCGGCTCCGGTGTAATTTTGAGCGTAGAAAGGATTGGAGTAAACCACACTGGCTGCCGAGTTATCCATTGCAGTTGAATATATTGCTTTAGCTCCTGGTTGTGGGGCCTTTACTGCTGATCAAACACGAACCGATTCCTTGGGATAAATAAAAACTACTGAAATCTTTGATAACATCCAAGAGACTAGGCGTAAAAAAATGAACTGAGTTTTGGATCTTCGATTCTTTGAAAGATTATCCACTGGCCTACTCAGCTGCCATGTTCTATTAGGTAAGAGGTACGATTTTTGAACTCAGAATATAGAAAATATGTGTTATACTCGTTATAAAGAACCGTGTCAAAACAGTTATACAAATAATTGAATTTAATTTTAAACAAATAACAAACAAATGTTTTCATTTATTTGTGGGCTATAAAATTATGCTTTGTACCTTAAAATGTAAAAATAACAATTCTTTGGAATGTTTTTTAATCTCAAAACAAACACACAAAGAAAATAATCCGAAGAAAAACAAAACATTGAATCATGCTAAAATAAAAGCCCGAATGTCAGCCATTCGGTAGCAAAAAAAAATATTAAAATAAACTCCACAATGCCTGCATTAATTTGATTCAATTATGTGGAATTTATTGAGTGAAAAAGTATTAATAACCGGAGTAAAAATGCAATATTGATATTCAATTGGCTGGCTCTGTTATACACTCACCTTTTCATAGATTTGACCTGATTTTTCTATCGGTAGTCTATAGTTGAAAGCACAAGAGAACTATGCAAATTTCCGTGATTGGCGGCTAAAAGTGAACATCCAACCACTTTTGCAGTTCACTGATGACTTTGCACTTCGCTTGCCCCTCCACGGGAAAATTGATTCATAATTTTTTCGCATTTTCACTTTAATCAGCAAACTTTGATTACATTTTCACAGCGAAGGGAGGTGATTTCCCCCACCTGGAATCTATTTAAAGAACCCTAAATTCCCCAAAGATATCTGAGACTCAAGCTGATATTATTTGGAACCGAGAGTCAACGTTTGAACGGCCAATCAAGTTGGCCAACACTCATCAAGCCAATTAGCTGCCAATTACCCCACTAATGACCGACCACATTAACCCGAAACGGAGGCAAGAATAATGCCCTGCCACACTGAAGAGATGTTTATTAATATCCCAGGTCTCGAACCCGGACCCGCTGATAAACGCAGCTGCCACGTTTGTCGCCCAGCCAGCAAAACATTTTCACCCGCCATTCGCTTTTATGGCCGCCTCTTTACGACCAAGTCCGCTGACCTTATCGCCCGATTCCGGGGCTCCAAGAGATCCGGTGTCCTGGTCTCCAGGATGCCATGCCCCCGTCTTCATTAGCAGTCTTCTTAGGGGTATGGTGTCAATTTCTCGGAAATGGGGGGTGGGGGTCATTAGGTCAGCGTCTCCAGCAGCTTTGCTTGCTGCCAACTAGCTTTTACTTTAACCCGTCAAAAATTTTACCCAAGAAATTAAGTAGCGAGGCGAACAACCGCCGACACGAAATTAAAAATCAACTGTCTTGAAGGGAAAACAACAAGGGAAATGGAAACTGTTGCTGGATGGGAAAAAGTTCCTATTCCGCTGGCAAACTTTGTGTGCGCTCATAAAAATCGAGACAGGACAGGGTAAATTGTCTTGCAGGATAATTGCACAAAAGTTTGACTTTGAAGCGGGTTCGTAATTGAAAAGACAAAAGCGCAGCGAAGGAATTGGCCCGGAATATAAGCTGCAGTGGGATCGCGTTTGGGTTTAGGGTTTCTGGAGCTCTGCAGCTCTGGGAACTCTTCATCATCAGCATCATCTCTCGGTGAAGTGCACACTGCAGCTTTCATGTTGTCTTTCGTTCCGTTTGGAGCGGAGGAACAGCTAATGAATTGGCTGCCTGCCGAGGCAAAGCAAACAGAGAGCACAGCTCAGCAATCTACCTGAATAAACTGACACGAATCGGAAGGTGCATTGGATATCGTTGGAGGTGTACGTATATATGGTATGCCCACCCCCACCCAAAGTCCAATTAATGGAGTCGCACGAGCTGCGCTGAAAATCAATATTCATAAAATGTAATACACATTTAATTGAGACAGATTGCCTGCATTCATTATAGGATGCAATGGGATACGTGCAATTAGGGGCTTAACTGTCTTGGGGGCTACACATTGTACAGTGATTCTATAGAGCACCTCGAGAAAATTGTATAAATGGATGTAAACATTGGTGTAGCTAGGATTTTATTTGGTCGAGGAAACAATAAAGATAAATATGTTTAAGTCAATGAACTACCCACAAACATCAGAACTAGCTAGTACTAACTAAATTGGTAGAGGGAGAACATAATGGGGTTCATAATTTTCATTTCCGATTATTATATTCCTCAACTAAAAGTCCTAAGGGGCCCAAAAATAATCACAACCCATCTAAAGTTAAGGTCAAGGCCTCGGGCTGAGTAATACCTACACTTATTCGCGAAACATTTCTGCATGGGAGCAGAAAAAACGAAAACCCTGGCAGTTGAGTTCCTCAGCTTTTCGGGGTTTATGCAGCTGGCAGCACAGACACAAAATAACAAGCAATAAAATGTGTACGTGTCTAAATTTTAATATGGTTTCCCTACCGACCGTATGTACATCCAGTTGAAATGCTCATGTACATTCGCATTCCCCTGCATTTGCGGAATGTGTGGATGGGCGATGGGTGGGTGGCTGTGTTTGCTAGTCCCTGTTTATTTGACTTGCTACTTATTTATTACGCAGCATAATGAAATTTCACGTAATCCTCATTAAAGCCAGAACAAAGGCACCGGAACATGGGGTTCGGGCAAACAACTTGAAGGCGTCCTTCCAGGGTCCTGTGTACATTTGCACATTCAAATCTCAGTCATGACTCAATTTCAGCAAAAGAAGCGAGTGTACAGAAGTCAGGGTGTTTAGAGGATGGAGCCCCTCTTTCCGGATCCCCACAGATTATCGACTTTTGAAGCACGGGCACAGCAGACGTCTCCATCGCCCACACGTCCAATACAAATAAATCAGACAAAGCATATAAATCTAAATTGTATCGCATTGTGGCGCATTTCGCCTCACCTTCGGCTGCTTTATTGGCAAATTGGCGGGTTGAGGCGTTGGCCTTTGTGTGCCAATCTTCCAGGCTCCCACTTTGGAGCACCTGAGTCGAGTATCGGGTATCGGGTATCCTTTCGATTGGCTGCCACGTTGACTTCCCATCGATTTTCACTGCACCACTACAAATCGCCTGCCATTCAGCCCGGTTTTTCCTGCGGTTTCCATTGTGCTGACAGTGCAATTATCGATGGAGTGTATTGAAAGCTGAATTTCAGCACTTTCAAGGAATAGTTAGAAGGGTTATACAGGTAAAATTGCCTCACAATTTAAAGAACCACTTCTTCAACAAACTAGGCAACTTGGGTAAACTCCACGACCAGTTCCACAAACTGTTCCGGCTGATCCTCGTACACACAATGACCTGCGTCTAGAATTTGGACAACCGTATTGGGAAAGTACCTCTGCATTATGGAAATACTGTCGAGGTCACAAACTCCGACTGAGAACCGGCGATGAGCAGGACTTCGCCCATATAGGGACTAAGTCCACCTATAGTGGACTCGTAGTCGATCATCATTTCCGCCCAGGAGCTCAGAACCGCCTGGGGATTCACTGACCACCGAAGGTGCTATCCTGCATCTTGCGCAGATTTTGGATAACCCTCCGCAGTTCGGAGACATCTTGAACCACGTCCTGGAAAATGGGCAGGATGAACCTGCGTCCCTCTGAGAGCGAGAGATTCGCCGGAATGGTGGGCGCCACCTGAATCATCATCTCGAACACCTCCCGTGTGAGATAGAAGTTACTGGGTACCGGAGCCGGCGTTGTGTCCACCAGAATGACCCGCTCACGAGCTGCGGCTGAGTGAGGGCCAGGGTCATCATGCCCGACCACCCATTCCATGTCCCAAGGCCACGATCTTTTCAGACGCTGGTGACCCATCAGGGCCTCCACATCGGCGGCCAGGTGGAGCGGCGAGTGACCCGAATGTGCGGACTGAGACCATGATTGCGGGCATCCACGGTGATCACCTGGCGCAGACCATGCTGGCTCAGGTTGCTGGCCACGTGGCGCCACGATGCCCCCGACAGGTTGAGGTCGTGCATCACCACAATCGGTGGCGCCTCCATTTGGTTCCTCGGAGTGCTGTAGGAGACGTACTCCAGACGGGTTCCCTGCACAAAAGTCGCGCGGTAGTTGCGCACCGCCTGGGTTCTGGCCAGATCGCGCTGAGGATTCGCTGTCTTACCATGATTACGGAAAATTTCGAATACCCGCCTGGGGCTACTTCTGCGGGAAATACTACTTCTGTATATTTATGATTTATTTTACGTAACACTCATACACAAATCGCTTTAGATTCAAGGTTTGCTCTATTTTCTCAAAAGGAAATGAAGATATTTGATAACTTTTCTTCAAATCTATTCTCATTTTCACTACAACTTGTGAGATGATTTATAAATATTGCTATATATATTCACAATAAACCTAGTCTACATGAATATTAAAATTTGATTAAGATTACTCACAATCCAACATATTCCCCACAGTCCACTGTTTTATAAAGAGATTATATAGGAATAGTTTTTATTGGACGAAAGCTCTTGATAAGTAAGTAAGTATAAAGAATGGTTCATTGTAACAATATTCATTATTTAAAAAAGCGTAGAATACGTTTTTCAATGCACCTTGACCTTAGATTAATGACCTTTATTATTTTTTTTACAATTAAAAGCTTGGAGGAATGACGGCTGCCTAGGCAATAGATTGTTAAGCAGTTCGGTCTGAAAACCAACAAGTTGGGTGCTGGTTTGGGCCAACCTCAAGAAAGAGAGCTGACTCAACGGCTCCTGGTGAAGTTTGGCTGCGTCTGATTAAACCTGGAGTCCGGGGCAAGTAGGCTTTATGTACCAGGTCCAGAAGCAGAAGGATCGTGTGGTGCTTGGCCAATAACTTATCGCTAGCATACAGTTTCCAGCAGAATTGGTTTAAAGTACTATTGATGGTTTCTTCGAGAAAAAGGGAGGTCTGAATGGAGTATTGTTGTACTCCTTGCAATTACTTGGCTTGTAACTATTTAACATATGAAAGGCTAATTGAATTCCAAGCGGGGTCATCTGAAAAAGGTCATGGCTCCCCAGCTCAAAGGTGGAATTCGCCAGTAATTGGTAAGACACTGTTATAATGTTCCTCCTAATGGATACTGAATTCGACTTCAGAGGCCGGTAGTCTGGCCTTTTAAGCAGTCGCCAAAGGCTAAACTTTTCATTGGCATATCTTGTCATGTCGTCTTCGTCGGAGAACTCTAAGTCCTTAAAGTAATCGGTTACGAAATCACGGCGATTAACATTCTCTGGAATGCCTCCCAGCCTCAGAGTCAAATTATTTATATTTTCCCGAAGAGCTGTAATCTCTGATGTCGTCCAGTTTAGTGGGTTGCCTTGCAGACTAATGTTAATTTGCTGGCGAATTGATTCGAAAATTTTTGAACTTTGCTCTGCAACTGACCCACATTTTCGCGGCCCAAGAAACGCTCTTCGTACAGCAAGTTAACGGCTAATCCCATCCGTGCCGCCACGAATTCCACACAATTTTGGGTCACTTGGATGTCGGGAAGCCTTAGTGCTATTTCAAAAGCACGTTCAATTTTATTTTTTCTCGTCCAATCGCTGGCATTGAAGGTCCTTAACAACCGTATGAAACGAAACATGTTTTTCCGATACTTAATATGCACTGTGGAGCTCGGTGAAATAAAGCGACCGTAGTAGTAGTTGAGAAATTGCTCAGGGATATTTGGAACCATTTTCCAGTTCCTCACAGTAAGTACTTGCTCTGGTTCTATATCGCCTGATCTCGAGGCCAGACATATATTATACACTCGCTGCGTCTTCCATTCCAGGCTGCCCTCCTCAAAGTCTGATTATTCAGTTCTTCGAACAGAGTTATGAACTCGGGTATTATTGTCGGCAGCTTCACTGGTTTTATGTACTTAACTGAATAGTTTTGAAAGTTCTGGCAGGGATCGGCACTTTCATCCATATTACCGAGCATTTCGTTGAGGATTGCGACATTTGGATCGGCCTTGGGACTTTATCATCTTCAGCGACTGCTACAATGCTAAACAGCAGGAGGCTGCTAATCCGAAATAGAGGTCCGATTCTCTTCATCGCAACTAGAAGATTAAATGTTTCCCAGTGAACAGTCGTAGTAATTGATTACTTTCAAAAAGACCCCAAAGGTTAAGCTCTGCTTATCAAGTAAAGCGAAATCGCACAAGTCCAACTTATACACAACAATTTATTATTATTGCCTCTTTTTTGCCTAAGCAGAATTATAAAAAATAATGTTATGTTCTGGAATCTAATCTATATGAATCTTAAAAGTTTATTTAAAAGAGTCTTAAATGCTAGTACCCATAATATTAAATTTTTCTTTCCTTTCAAAGGAATATGGTTATTTTTACCGTTCAACCTGGGGATATTCCGAATACGCCCCGTTACGTCTGTCGTCTCAGGACACAATGGTATTAGCCGTAATCCACTGGGACTAATGCCTCGTTTAACGCTCGGGAGTCTAAGCGCTTTCATGTCGCTTACAGTTGTGGCGGCGAGTACAAATCCCCAAATTGCGTAATAAATAAAATGCATTTGCGTGGAAAATTAGGAAATGGCAGAAAGCACTGGGATATGGGGCAGGGGAGGGGGTACCAAATTCAAATTTCCACATTTTCATATTTTTACATTTTTATAATGTTAGCTGGCTGCGTTTGCCATCACAGAGGGCATAAATCTTGGCAAGTGCTCAGACACAGACACAAACAAATCGCCTCAGACATTTCTTGTTACTTGAATTCCCTTTTGCTTGCACAAATCGAAAGATTACGATGGAGTCTGTTTGTTCTTTAAGACCAAGCCAATGGACTCCTTCTAATGGCTGGAAACGAAATGAATGCAAATTTTGAAAACTATTTTTAGCCAGAATCTGCAGCCTTTGAACTTCGAGGGTCCCGGGAATACTGGATTGAGCCATCAAAAGTGGGAACACCCCAAGTCTGTCTCCGCTTGACAGTAGTACTTGATATCCAATTTCAGACTATTGACACAATGAAGCACTTGAGTAGTACTTGCTGGCGGAGGAAACATAAAACGAACTAAATAAATAAACTGGAAACATCATTTGGAGTCATAAAAAAAGGAACTTTCGAATGCAAACCGAAAGTTGAAGACGTGTTCTTGTTTCGCCCCTTTTCCAATCAGCCCCATTGAAAAGTTTAGCGACAATGAAATACCCCCAAACGCGAATGGATACGACCCCTCAGGAATCAGACCTCCAAATGCCCATCAAAGGCTTATCGTCAGTCTGTCGGCGCATTCCATTCTAAGCCTCGGACGCTGTCCTGTTGCCACGCGGCTAAATACGTGGCAGGATTGGGGGAATGCCTTTCATCTCCATGGCATCACAATATCTGGGAGATTGGGAGCGGGAAGCCGGCAAAATTATCCGCGCAGGTGCACTGGATCCTGATTCAGCAGGAGAGCTGAATGCGGAGAAGGAGTCCTCGAGAGTCACTTATAAACAATAACAAATGCATGCAACAGATAGGTACTTAAAGGCAAGTGGGATTTGGAAAGGGCTTTCAGGCAATATGAGGTCCTTTTTACAATTAAATATTTACAACAATGTATAATTAATTTAAATTTGGACATTAAGCTGGGATATCCTATAGTTTGAAGAACTATTCAGGATATATTTGAACTACACACAAATTAACCGATTCGTTATTTGTAAAGGTTTATGTCCTGGATGTTATGGGAACACTTCCTTTAGCCTAGGGCAGAACCATGAGCTTATTACCGTTTCATGGGTTTGAAAAGTGCTACCATATAAGGAAAAATTTACTTATATCCATAAAAGAAAACACATGGCCTTAATTCAAATTCAATTCAATGTTATTTTTTTTTGCTTAATAAATGTAACAAACAGAGAAGGACGAGCACGGATAATAGCAAAATATGATTATGAAGGGAGAAAAGATCGCAAACAATTTAAAAAGAACAACTGAAATTATGCCTCTGTTTAAGAATGTTTTTAAAAAAATATTATTATATTAATAATAATAGTACTATTCCGCACTAGCAAAACTTAGATTGAGTGGTAAGTAATTTGATCTGGGGAGTATATGTTAATCAATAATTTATATTAAAATCCCGAGAAATGTTATGAATTATATTTTACGAATCAAACAGATTAATAAAGTGCAACATAACATTCTACCAAAACCCTTTCAATTTATATTTCCTCATCTGTATTAGATATTACTTTTAAAACACATTTGTAAACCGGAACACCAGAAATCACCACAACAACCCTCGACTAAGACGACCAATCGAAACGCGCCAAACTGTTGCCAATCCAAAATGGCCTCCAACAGATGCTTCCATCCTACGGGGAGGAAAATCCAATAAGCAAAATTCAGAACAGGACCAAGCTGACTTCGCAGCCCGTGAGGACAATCAGAATTTATTGCAACACAGTCTTCCAAGCAGAACAGACCAAAGGTCTGACTTCCAATTGCAGTAGTTATCCAATTATCCAATCCGACAGACAGTCATGCAGCATCCGCATCCCAGTGACCAGCCCACCTACATGCCGGATGTTCCTTTCCAACCGCTTTGGGGTCAGGAGGCTCCTCCGCCGCCCATAGTGCCCTACCAGGAGCTCATCGCCGGATTTCCCTGCACCGATTTGTGTGAGTACCTCTGGGAAGAATCTCCATGAAAAAATATTACAAAATGTATTTCCAACATCACAGCTCTGTGGCAGCGATCGCAGGTTACACCATTGGTTGCCCAGCGTTCGTCGACAAATGGCAGGGCCAACGGGTCCTCCAGCTCCTCAAAGAAGACCCGCCGCCGGGTGGCCAGCATGGCCCAAAGGAGAGCTGCCAATATCCGCGAACGCCGACGGATGTTCAACCTGAATGAGGCCTTCGACAAATTGCGCCGCAAGGTGCCCACCTTCGCCTACGAAAAACGGCTCTCCCGCATCGAAACCCTCCGTCTGGCCATCACCTACATAGGATTCATGGCGGAGCTGCTCAGTGGGACACCCTCAAACTCCCACAAGTCCCGGTCGGAGGTCTACAGCACCATGAATGGACACCATCAGGCGCCACCTCCGGCAATCCACCCGCATCATTTGCACCCCGCGGCGGCCTATCAACGCGACTTTGCCTCCCCCTATAACCACAGTTTAACTTAGAAAGGCTCTTTAGAATTATCAGGGAGTTATACACATTAGACTAGACTAATTTCCTAGTCTATAATTATAAAATAATTATATAATACAGCCGAAAACCGTTTGGTATGGTGTGACGCCAGCAAAAATAACTACAGGAATTCCTGGAAGTTCTTAGTTGTACCTTCTCCGATAAGTTATACTCAATTACTTGTATATACAATTTAATGAACCATGTTAATCATAACTATAAATAAATAATTGTTTAAAAAACATTAAATATTCTCTTAAGTTCTAAGTATATGGTAACCTTTTGGAAATTACTATGAAATGAATGAATGTATGAATTATAAATTATATATGTAGGGTTGGATTAACCTAAACTGATCAAAAACATGCCATATGGGATCTATCACAACCCGATCTTAGGGTAATATTATTAAAAGAGTTTTCTTCATTGATCCCTATTCCTTTTCGGTAGTGCACACCACACTACACACTACACACTACACTACAGAAAACTGTCATGATGAAAATCAAATGTTCTATTTTGGATAGACATAGTGAACTATACTGTGATGTTCCTAGGTCGTAGAAGTACTTAACTTATAGGTACACAGGAATATATTATGGAAATTAAAAATTATTAGGGAGATAATATAATTCGGTAATCGAAATTGTAAACAAATTAGATGTCTAAACATAGTGGTGACTTTAAAGTCAAAAGTACCACCGACCTACACCTGATAATCCCCTAAACACAACCCGCACTTGTTACTGAAAATCCTAGTCAAAACCAAAGCGAACCATGTCGTGATTTGCGTGCGAATTTTCACAGCTGCTGGAAGGGAACACATGTCCACGACCACTCGGTGGTCTCGATGAAGTCACATTGCATAGGGTTCCCTAAACGGAACCCAAAAAGAGAAAGAAAACTATTATACAAAATTTGACAAGGCAAACAAAGCGTGAAATTATTATTAATAAATTGATGCACTCGTAAGGGGAGAACCAAAAAGGGAAGCAGCTATTCAAAGTCAATTGTAACAACCCCTATTTAAGGATAGCCCAGAAACAAGTGTAACACTTGAGGGATTGATGCGCGCTCTGGCTAAATACCAAGGAATTTTTGCGTACAACGCCCATTTCGAACAGATTAGCGCCCCTCGTACGGGGACCAAATTAATTCGGAACGGATATTGCACGGATATTCGGGTTCGGAAGTCAGAAAGTATACTGCTACCTGGGGGTTGACTTCGCCCCTTGTGGCTGATGTTTTGGTAGTTTGGTGTACAATATGTTTTGATGAATTTGTGACACTTCATGCCGAATTAGATCGTTTTCAGGGTGGGTTGCCACACCCTTTACCCTATAAAGTGGACTCACGTGTCGGCGATTAGCGCATCAGTATCTCCATATCCCTAGATCTTAACTCCTTAAGTTGATCTTTCCGTCACCTGTGGTGTGGGAAACTAGCTGAGTATATCAAAATATGTATTATTTGTTCCTTGCCACGTGTTCCTAGTTAACTTTTCCCATAGAATCACCATTTTCATCCATTGACTGAGATTAACTATCCGATCCCTCCCCTTGCGCGTTGTATGTCAAATCGCTATGACAAATTAATTGAATTTCGTTACAATTTCTGGCATTTTTCGCAATTTTTCGACCACTTTTTCCGGACTCAATTAGGGCGGAATCCAATATATATTAGGTAATGATAGATGGATTTAAGAGGAAATATAGCAGATGTTTTCAAAGCTTCTTAGCATGCGAAACAGTTGCGATTGTTTCGAGAAGTAGGAACCAAACCTATCACTCTCATTTTTTGCGAATTAATAGTGTGTTCTAACTGACTTATCTAAGATAACTTGAAAACCAACAATCATGTGTGCCTGACTTGATAAATTTCAATCATATAACCCACATTCCCTATCTACACGCACTTATCGATTCGTGTGTACACAATACGTTAAAAGAACTTGCCGGGTGTTCTTAGTTGTCATAAAATTGCCGACCCAAGTTCAGTTTGCAATCGGGAACGGAGGAGAATGTCGAACCCAATTCTAGTTACGCAGATATCCCAAGATGCCTCTCTGCCGAATTGGCTGGAACAGCAGGATCTGGAGGCCTTGGTGAAGCAGGATATTCCAGAGTTTAAGAAAATCGAAAACTTTCGGTACAAGTGGGAGATTCAACTGGCCCAACCTGCACTCTGTGCTCATCTTCAGGTTCTTTTAAGAGGTAAGGAGTCTTATAAATAGTATGTGTCCCTTAACAATCAACCAACCACAGACAACAATAAACGCCAAGTGAGTTACCTAATCAAATCACCAGAATCGGTGGCAACCGGCTTAAAGGTGCCCATAGAAGGGGATTTCTCAGTTGAACGTCATATTTACGAGAATGTACTTCCTTCCCTGGAAGAGCTCTATAAAAATGCGGATAAGATCATTCACTTTAGCCCACCAGTTATCCAGGCAAAGCAAAAATCCAACCATCTTTATTTGGAGTATATCTTAAACAAAGGTTATTCCGTGGCCAATAGCCTAAAAGGCCTGTCCATAACAACAATGGAAGGAGTTCTTTCGAAACTGGCCGCTTATCACGCCGGGACAGCTTGCTATATAGCGAAGAATTCCAGCCAGATTAAAGAGCTTCCAAAGCTTGGGGAGAACTCGAAATTGGGGAAAGAGGCTGCCGAACTCAAAAGCTTGTATCAAATGAGATTTCACGAGAGTCTCCGATCGAACGAAGCCAGAGAGTACGAAGATAAGGTGGTGAGTACTATCAAGAGTCTACTTATAGATACCCTTCTGTAATTCCAAACATAATTCTCAGAAATCATTTCAAAAGTATGTGAAGTCGAATACCGAGGTTCTGGATTTTAGAACTTCCTTTAACGTGATTCTAAATGGATCCTGCTGGCCGAATAATGTGCTCATCCAAGTCGATGCCTTTGGCAATGTTAAGGATACGCTCTTCAGCGACTTTCATGCTGCTAAATATGGTCCAGCTGTTTACGATCTTTTCAGCTTACTCCTCACGGCGCCGGCTGAGAAATCAACCCGATTTGATGGCTATGTGAAGTATTACCACGATCGTTTGATAGAAAATCTGAACCTACTAAAGTTTCAAGGAAAGAAACCTAGCCTCACGGATCTGCAATTGGATTCACTGAAATATGGTCATTGGGGTAGGTCGGAATAGTATTATTTGTATACCGATAAAAGCTAACTGTGCTCTCTAAGCAGCCTTCGAGTTTGCCACGGAAATCCTGCCTATATTGATCTCGGATTTTGGAAACAACGACGTGGATGAGCTCTTCAAGAACCCTGTGTTTGGGACTCAAATAAGAGAACTACTACCCTGGCTAGAGAATCGCGGATACTTCGAAGAAGACTAGAAACGACCTTCTACCAAAAACTATAAATATACAGCCATTACAATGCATATCGACAATCAGTATCAAAATACAAATAAATGCAGGCACGCTTCTAATTAGAAAAGCTTTTGGAGGATCCACCTGTTTGATTGCGGGGGGAAGAAATTTGATAAGAGCTTCGTGAAGAGTTACTTAGGGAGATAAACAAGGTCGTATTTCGCCAGTCATCGCTGCAAAAATGTAGCCGTAATAATGAACCGGCATAAAAAAACCTTAAACCTGATCATCAGAGTTCAAGCAGCAAGATCAAATTTCTGGACTGTGACTAGAAAGACTGATTGGGCACTTTTTTCTTGCCGGTCAGGCACGGATGTGGTTATTGCATCGTAGACTCTCGCCGATCCAAACGAACAGGTCCACCCCGATCGAAAAGCGTTCCCACGCGACGGACTTTAGTCATCCAATGAAATTGAGCAGAAGCTCGAAGCTTTTAAATGAAAAGCTCCAGGTGATTAGAGCAATATAAGGCAGCCCCCCACAAAAGTAGCGTAAATTACTACACCAGAAGGTAAACGGAATGGTTCAGGGAAAAGAAGACACTGAGCAGATGCCGGCGTGGCTGGATCAACAGAAGTTTGAAGAGTTTATAGAGCGCGATTTTCCGAATCTAAAGAATATTAAATCATTCCAACTGGAACCCTCAGCCGGAAAGGGTGAAAACTACACAACGTTACTTTGAGGGCGAATTTTGAATTGGAACTGAATGGTAAGTGGGGTAAAAAAATTATTTAAGAAAGTCACATTATAATATTTTATTTCCTTTCCTTTTAGATGGCTCCCAACAGAGTATATCGTATATGGCTAAAGTCTTGCCGAATTCTGGAAACCGCGATAACGTCGCCAGTTGGAAAGTATTCGACAAGGAGCGTCAGACCTACGGACAATATATTCCGGAATTTGAGCAGATGTACAGAGAGGCCGGAAAGGAGATTACATTTGGACCACGTTACTACGAGGCAAAGAATCAGTCGGAAGAGGAACTGATTGTTCTGGAGGATCTGGGCAAGAGGGGATTTAAGAATCTAGACCGTCAAAGTGGCCTGGATATCCAACATACAGAGGCCATTTTGGAAAGCTGGCCCAGTTCCATGCCGCCTCCGCCGTGCGATTCGAGCTCAAGGGAGCCTATCCTGCTGAGTACGATCGTAATGTGTGCAGCCAAGAAGAACCTTTAAGGATTTCCGGGAAACCCAAACAAAGGCCTACGTTGAAGCCTTCCCTCTCTACGAAGCCTCTCATTTGGCAAAGGCAGTGGTAAGAATTTAATATAATATGGAACACCAGAAGGAAACAATATATAGCTTATTTTGTTTAATAGGAATCCTACGGCAGTCAAGCGGAGGACATGTTCCAGGCGTATGCTCCTCAGATTGAAGGCGAGTTCCGTGTCCTGAATCACGGAGATGCCTGGTGCAATAACTTTATGTTCCAACATGATAGACGGGAAAGCTGCTTGAAACCTACTTGTAGATTGCAAATGAGTCGTTCTCGTCGCCTGCCCAAGACTTGCTCTACTTTATCCTCTCCTCCACCCAATTGGATATAAAGATAGCCAAATTTGATTACCTGATTATGTACTATCATGAAAAGCTCACACAGAGCCTAAAGCTACTGAAGTATTCAAAACCACTGCCTTCACTTAGGAGCCTACATCAATCGATCTTTACCCACGGAGATTGGAGTAAGTTTTGATATTATAATAAAAATTATATAAGTTAATAATATTTTTTCCTTGACAAACAGTTTTGCCCATTATATCCCTTTTGCTGCCCATTGTTTTGGTGGATTCCAGTGACGATGCTAATGTGGATAACTTGATGGACAGCGAGGGAGCTGGAGACAAGTTCCGGAACAACATGCTCCAAAACCCCCGCATCATTAGACACCAAAAAGTGATTCTTCCCTGGGTCCATCGTCGGGGAGCCTTTGAAGTCACCAAATAAATGTGAAAAACTGTTGATATTATTTTATAAGTAAATAAAAAATAACGTTAGACAATCACATTATCAGTTCGAAAATTTTTATCACTTATTTTTTGTTTGAGACCTAAGCGTTGGGTTTATCAGTAGTACGGCTGTTATCACTGAGCTGTTGCTGAATTTGAGTGGATCGCGCCCACTCAACAAATGTTTTAAATTCACTCAAACATTTATATTAATGTAGAGCGTAAAATTGTCGGGGGTGATGAAATAATTTAGCTATATCTACGCTGATCTGAACGGCACAGCTAGAGGGGAACTTTCGCAGCCAAACATCAGTTGACAGCCGTTCCCGCAGTCGAACGGACGTACAAAGTTCGCGATTTCTTGTCAAACAAAAATCTAGTTTTACGATGGGATCGCGTAGTTCCAAGACGAAAAAAAACTGTGCCAGCAGCAATCAGAAAAATACCTCTATAAAAAGTTCGCGAATCGAGGGGTCACCCACTCAATCAGACCTTTCGAACCCCAGCCCACCGGCAGTTGAGGAGAAGAATTTGGGGCCAGAATGGTTGCATGAAACGCAATTTGAGGAATTACTAACCGCAAATGTCGCTCAGTTCTCAAAGATAGTGGGTTTTCGGGTGAAACCCGCCATGGCCCCCGGAGAAAACTATGCCACTTGATGCTGAGGATCAGCATAGATGTGGAGCTCCCTGGTGAGTAACACAGACATGCTTTTGCATACCTAATAAAATGCACAATCTTGTCGCCCTAGAAAGCGCCATAAATATGCGCTTTTATTGGTATTCAAAAGTTTGATAAGTAGTATCTACAATTCATTTATAAACATGCACAATAAATGCTTGTTGTTTGGGTCATTTTCCAATAATAGCAGGTGCATGTCTGACGGTAATTATTTTCTAATCAAAGGTGTTATTGTGAATTTTTCCTAACGAGTTTATAAAACCCGATCTGTCTGCTAGATAAGAGCACCAAACTGGTCTCCTTTATGATGAAGGTGCCACACCAAACTCCCCAAATGGAACAGATGTTGGCCATGGCCAACTTCTTTGACAGCGAGAATGCAGTCTACACGGATATATTGCCGAAATTGGAGGAGCTATACAAGGCTAAGGGATTGGACATACAATTTGCTCCCAAGGCATTCAAACTGGACTCTAAAAAGGAACCCAATTTGGCCAACACAGTGGTAATGAATGACCTGGGTCAGGATGGTTTTAAGAACCTAAATCGCTAGAGTGCCTTAATCTGGAACAAACAAAGTTTGCTCTGAAAAAACTAGCCCAGTTCCATGCGGCATCTGCAATGAGTGTTCAGTGAATGGACCCTTTGCAGATATATTCATAAATGGTGTCCTAGGGGGAAACAAGGAGGTTCTAATGGCATTCTACGAAGGAATGATTGCCTCATTCCGTACTGCTTTTATGGCCAATTTGAAAAACTTTAAGGACGGAGAAAGCTTTCGTGAAAAACTGGTAGGTCTTTACTTGCCTATTCATAAATATATTACTTAACTATTATCCGAATGTTTCCAGGACTCGGCATTTACTCAGATATTTCTGGACTTTGAACATCTGATGAAGAGCGACCCTGCTGAGTTCAATGTTCTAAACCATGGTGATTGCTGGATGAATAACTTGCTATTCAAGGTGGACTCCAAGGGGAAGTGGAAGACATGTTGTTTGTTGATTTCCAGAACCCCAAATACGGCTCTCCCACGCAGGATTTGTTTTACCTAATCCTCACCTCGGTGCACATAGACTACAAGCTGGATTACTTTGACTTCTTCATCAGGCACTATCACGAACAGTTGACAAAACACCTGAATGTACTAGGCTTCACCGGTAAGCAACTTTCTCTCAGGGATCTCCACATGCTGATGTACAAGCACGGAAGTTGGGCTCTGTTTCCCTCGATCACTGTGCTGCCAGTGGTGCTCCTGGATCCAAATGAATCTGCCACTTTTGACAATTTCCTGGGAGACACCGAAGACGGGGCCAAATTCAAGAATCTTCTGTTTGCCAACAAGCGATACAAGGGATATATTGAAAGGATTCTGCCATGGCTGTATAACAAGGGTTTCTTGGAAGCCTAGTAAGTTGAAAGCAGAGAGCTGATTTTTTTAATTATTAATTATTCTCACTTTCAGCAATCAGTTCATCCCACCCGAACACCTTCATCAGAGAACTCTGAAAATCCCAACCAGATATTGGACTGGCTTAATGTCAGCGACTTTGAAGAAGTAATTTCCTCCTCCGATCCAGAGTTTAACAAGGTTCTTGGCGGATCTTGGACTTCGGCGACGAAACCCGGAGACAACTTTGCGTCTAAGCTTTTGAAAGTTGATATACAGGCAGAAATGAAAGGTGGGTATCTAAATATTATATATGATGAACAAAAATGTGGCTATCAATAAAAGTCTCAGCAGATAACACTGCCAAGACGTTCTCCTTCATACTTAAAGTACAACAAAAGTCTACCAGTGATAATTTTACCGACGTAAACATGTTTCCCAAAGAAATGGAAATGTATCGCAAATATGTACCCGCCTTTGAAAAACTATATAAGGATGCAGGCTAAATATCACATTTAGTGCAAAGTCTTTCGTCCTAAATAAAGATATTACTGAAGAATATCTGCTAATGGAAAATCTTCAAGCCAAGGGCTTCAAGATGGCCGACCGCAAGAAAGGATTGGACATGGAGCACACCAAGAGCGCACTGAAGAAACTGGCCCAATGGCATGCGGCCTCCATAAAGTACAAAGAAATTAATGGACCTTACTCCACATTGTATAACGATGGAATCTATATTGAACAGACAAGAGATACGTTCCATAATATGTTTGCCTTGGCCAAGGATTCGTTTATTCAGATACTGGGAAAGTTCGAGGGTGCTGAGGAATATCTGCCTAAACTGGTAACGTATTATTACCTCCAGGATTATTTGAATTTTTTTAACCGAAATTCATTTTATAAAGCCATGGATTTTGGACAACCACGTAGATCAGATTATTAAGATGCCAAAATCAATGAGAAAGAGTTCAATGTGCTTAATCATGGCGATGCCTGGATAAACAACATCATGTTCCAATACGACTCAGAAAGTCGCCTCAAGGAAACCTTCTTGCTGGACCATCAGAATGCTAAATACGGCAATCCAGCTCAGGATCTGTACTACTTTATTATGAGTTCTGCAGAGTTGGACATCAAATTGATAAGTTTGATTATCTGATCAGGTGGTATCACGAAAACTTAGTTGAACATTCCAACTTGTTAAAGTACAATGGATATGTTCCCTCTCTTAATGAACTTCATACCATTTTGATAGACCATCCTCCTTTCGGTACGTGGAAATGGGAAATTTTATAATAATTTGTGTATTTAACTATTATATGGTTTCAGCTGCTGGCACAGTAATCAGTACTTTAACCGTTTGCCTGACCGACGAGGGGTTCAACCCCGAGATATTTTTCATCGAAACACCGGAGTCCGAAAAGTTTAGACTACAGCTTCTCGGCAACGAGCGTTATAGAGCCCATATTGAGCGGGTGATGCCTTGGCTTAATAGGAGGGGTCTACTTGACCCTTAAATGATCTATTCTAAATGTGATAAATACTGTTTAAGCATTAATTTTTTCTACAGGATTCTAGAGAAACTGATTCCTTAATTACAATTACAATAAATATTATGCCATAATATATAAATATACTTATAACATAATATGTCATACCTGATATTGTTAATAATATCTGAAATGAAAAGATGTAACAAAAAATGACTGATTTCCTGTCCAGGAGCCTACCCTAATTTTTAAACATCGCTGATCATTAGATTAAAAGAAAGAGAGATAGTAACAGTGAATAATGGAAATCGGCAAAGTATAAACTGATACAATTTACAATCTGATAGTTAGGGCTATCAACCCAGTACTCTTATCAATAAGAAGTGTTTAAGTTCATTCTGATTAGCTATACAAACGCAAACAATTCAAGAACTGATGAAATAACAAAAGTTTTGTTAATGGCAGTGCTATCAACGCTATCAAATAAACTTTTGATTAGAAATGCATTACTAGGAAACCCAGTCGTGTGCCGAATATCAGTATACCATCGATCGCCCAGTTGAGCGGACGCAAATCGCGAGTTTGAACCTCTTATTGTAAATATTAAAATCCTCAGTGCTATACGATGGGTCTGAGAAATTCTAAGACAAAGCAGACCTATGAAGTGAAAACTTCGGAGCCAGCACCACAGGCACAACTGAACTCTGACCCCCCAGCTCCGGTTACCAAGTCGGAACCAGAGATTGATCGTAGCAACTTGGTGCCCAAATGGCTGAATGAAACGCAATTTGAGGAATTTCTAACTACAAATGTAGCTGAGTTCTCCAAAATAGTGGGTTTCCGGGTTAAGCCCGCCTTGTCCCCCGGCGAAAACTATGCCACTCTTATGCTGAGGATCAGCATAGATGTGGAGCTCACTGGTGAGTTAACTGCCCATAAGGCTATCCCTAACTATTTATAGTACTATTTTGGCACAATCTGGTTCAACCAGAAATAACGACGCAGGTAGGTGGGGTTTTGGTTCTTCGTGTAGGTCTGCGATAAGTAATCACAAAGTACTTGAGTATAAGTACGTTTCATTTACAGACAGTTAGCAATAAATGTTTGGTGATTGTTTTGCCTTTCACAATGACAAGGCTTATTTTACGCTTACTGGCAACTACTTACCAATGTCCAATGATGCAATATCGCAATTATGAACTTATAAATAATATTCTTTCCAGACAAGAGCACCAAGCTGGTATCCTTTATGATGAAAGTTCCTCATGAAACTCCGCAAATGGATCAAATGATGGCCCTTGCTAACTTTTTTAACAGCGAGAACATGGCCTATATTGACATTCTACCGAAATTGGAGGAGCTCTATAAGACCAAGGGTATGGATATTAATTTCGCTCCGCGAGCATTCCGACTGGACTCCACCAAGGAGCCCAAGCTGGCCAACACGGTGCTGATGAACGATCTTGGCCAGAATGGGTATAAGAATTTAAATCGTCTGGAGTGCCTGAACTTGGAACAAACCAAGTTTGCCCTTACAAAATTGGCTCAGTTCCATGCAGCCGGTGCTATGATGGTTCAGGTTAATGGACCCTATCCTGATGTGTTCATTCACGGCATTATGGGAGATAACATGGAGGCCATAATGGCTTTTATGGAAGGAATGTTGGGATCTTTTCGAACGGCGTTTTTGGCCAATCTAAATAAGTTCAAGAACGGAGAAGCCCATCGCGAGAAGCTGGTAAGACTTAGCTTAAAGTAACTTTATTAAATATTTTATATTCTAACCATTGGTTGCAGGAAAAAATTCTTTCTTGCCTAACTACTGAGTTCATGAAAATCGGTGTCATAGATAAAGATGAGTTCAATGTTCTGAACCATGGCGATTGCTGGATGAATAATCTGCTGTTCAAGGTGGACTCCCAGGGGAATTTGGAGGACATGGTCTTTGTCGATTTCCAGAACCCCAAATACGGCACCAACACCATGGACTTACTCTACTTTATCATGACTTCGGTCCACATAGACTACAAGCTGGATTACTTTGACTTCCTAGTCAGGCATTATCACGAACAGCTGACCAAGCACTTGGATATTTTGGGATTTACTGGACACAAGCCATCCTTAAGAGAAATGCACATTAAGATGATCAAGTACGGAGGATGGGTTCTATTCCCAACCATCGCCGTATTGCCTGTGGTTCTTCTGGATCCTAGTGAGTCAGCCACATTTGATAATTTCTTGGGAGACTCCGAAGCTGGCGTTAATTTCAAGAACTCTTTGTATGGCAACAAGCGGTATCAACGATACATTGAACGAATTCTGCCTTGGCTAGAGAATAGGGGTTACCTGGAACCAAGGTAAGCACTTCTTATGGTTACTTAACCATCAAAATAAATAACAATCCTTTTTAGTACTGAACCAATCGCAACTCAACCGCCGCATCGAAGCCTCTACAGCAAGCGCAGCCTGAGAATCCTGACCAGATCCTGGACTGGCTTAATGTTAGCGACTTCAAGGAGATCATCTCATCCACCGAACCCAATTTTGAGAAGATTGTAGGTGGTTCGTGGAAGTCGGCCACGAAACCTGGTGACAACTTTGCTTCTAAGCTCCTAAAGGTTGATATCGAGGCACAGTTAAAAGGTGATACAACCACTATTAAAAATTTAGAAAATCGGAAATTATTAAGCTTATCCTTACCCCTACAGATAATGCCGTCAAGACCTTTTCGTATATCCTAAAAGTGAATACAGCCAGTGACATGATTAACTTCGCCGACCTTAACCTGTTTCCCAAGGAGATCGAGATGTACAGCACATATGTACCCGCTTTTGAGCAGCTCTATAAGGACGCTGGATTGCCTGTCACATTTAGTGCCAAGTCCTTCCGGCTCAGCAAGGATGTCAGCGAAGAATATTGATTTTGGAGAACCTGCAGACAGGCGGTTTCAAGATGTGCGATCGCATGAAGGGAATGGACTTGGAGCACAGCAAGAGCACGTTAAGAAATTGGCTCAATGGCATGCAGCCTCTCTGAAATACAAGGAACTCAATGGATCCTACTCGCCGAAATACAACAATGGCATTTTTACAGAACAAACTGCTGCCATGTTCAAGGGTATGTTTGCTCAAACGAAGAAGACGTACATGGAGGAAGTGGCCAAATTTGATGGCGTCGATGAGTATTGCACAAATTGGTAAGCTTTTCAATCCTTTTTTTAGGTTTAATTATAAAGAACATATTTTTAGCCAGTGGTGTTGGACGCCATGTCGACAAAATTATAGAAGACGCCAAAATCAATGAGGAAGAGTTCAATGTGCTCAATCATGGCGATGCCTGGATCAACAACATCATGTTCCAATATGACTCGGAGGGACATGTCAAGGAAACCTTCCTACTGGATCACCAACTAACGAAATACGGAAATCCTGCCCAGGACCTGTACTACTTATAATGAGCTCCACTCAGCTCGATATTAAAGTCGATCAGTTTGACTCTCTCATCCGATGGTATCATCAAAACTTGGTGGAACATGCTACATTGTTAAAGTACAATGGTTTTGTACCCTCTCTGAAGGAACTGCACATTATTTTAATAGAGCACCCAACTTTGGTAACTTACAAGATAGTCCAGATCCCGATATGAAAACTAACCGATTGTTTTTTTTTTAGCGGCGGTAACCATGCTTACCACCTGACGATTTGCCTGAACGAGGCCGATGAAAATTTCTCCACCGATGGCTTTTAGGAGAGAACAAAGAAGCGGAATCATTGAGATCGGCACTTTTCAGCAACGAACGTTACAGGGCCAACATAGAACCGTTATGCCATGGTTAAATAGACGAGGAGTGCTTGATGCTTTCGCCACTGAGAAAGCCCAATAACTACTCTTAGACTTGACTGAAACAATAAAAAGCTTTTTATATCAGCTGTATATAGGAATATTTACTATTTTAACAAACGACTATATAAATGTGTGATCACAATTCTATCCTGCCAGAGGGAGCTAACAGTTTTATTATATTTTTTGTCTTACTTAAGGGCAAACTTTACGGCCAGTACAATACTAGAAACGAAGATCACAGCGAGTGCTAGCTTCCTAAGATTGGCACGATTCACGCCCTTGATTGTCCGCACTACTTCTATATTTAAGCGGAATACGTTGCGACTCTCCTCGATGAAAGCAGCGCGCAGCTCATCGTCAAAAGCTCCATAATGATTGTTGAAAACGCGCCTGAGCTTGGCCTTAAGAACAGAGATCTATAAGAAAGGTATTCGAAATTACATCTATCAATATCCTTATCCATATGGATGCATTTTGCAGATTCAATTTTTATATAACTTATGTAAAGAGAGTATTTAAAGAACGAATGACTAATGTACACACCTTTTCCGGAAAATAGGTGGCCTCGCAGCCAGGGGGACAAATGGTAACCTGTGCGGGCATAGGTCTGGCCTGCAAGTCGTCTTCGTTCAAAGTGGCATCTGCAGCCCTGGCGGTAGCCACCTCAGCCTCCTTGTCGGCCTGCTTCTGTTGCTCCTCGTCGGTGCCCTTAGAGAAGATCCAAAGTTTACGGGCGATCATGCGCTTCTTCTGCAGCATCTGTCCGCCGGACATCAAGGCCATGTACATCTGATAGGAGTAGGCAAACAACAGCAGTTCGTTCTGGGCGGCAACCTTCTCCAGGTGCTCCAGATACTTCTTGACCGCCGGACGGGGTTCGTAGGTCTCCCTCCAATCGGAACCGTAGAAGTAGTCGAAATCCCGCTCGAAAGCCGCTGTCCTGTAGAATTCCTTGGGCAGCAGGCGCTCCGGCAGATGGGTCTCGAAGAATTTGTACAGTTCGTAAAAGGCCAAAAGACCATCGTACCAGACCTCGTCGTCGGAAAGGGCTGGGGAAAAGGGGTGAACATATTATAATACATATATAGTTAAGGAATGGTAGAGTGAACCCACCTAGTGCGAACTTTGCATTGACCAGCACATCGGTCAGGTTATGCACATCCTTTGTGGCTTTACGCAACTCCTTTGTGAAGGCCATGTCCACGAATTCCACATCCTCCACACTCTCTGGCGACTGATTGTCCGCTGTTGTTGCCTCGGCCGTTGACATTGGTGCTTTTGCGTTGCAACTTTTCCAATAAATAAGTACGATCTATATTTTATTTGCGTGATAATCGGAAAATACGCCTTTGTTTTTGTTTTGTTTTGAACTCCAGGCCAGTGTGACCGCTCAACAGAAATATACTAAAATGAATATAAAAATACCAAGGAGGGGTTTGTACAGTACAGCATTTCCATGTAATTTGCAAATGGTCTTATTCTATATTTTTGCTGTAGCTTGATTATTTTTATTTTGTTTAGAAATTTAGGAAAAACATAAGTTTAAGAGAAAAGTGTTTAAACCGCAACAATTGTAAGTGTGGCCTCTGCAACGAGGGCCTTAAATTAAAGTTAACACGAAAAACGAGCAATACTCAAGACCACACATGAAATTTACAACCCACTATTCTTTTTTCATTTCGCTTGCAATCAAACACACCCACACAACACACACCGACTGCAGTTGAGAAAGCAGGGCGACACACCACAAAAACAACAAGTACAATAACGCTTTTGGCTTTGGTTCTGCACTCTTACCCACCCACTCTTTCCGCCCCCTAAAACCATCCACCTTTCCTTACCTCCCCACCGCCCCACTCCACCCACCTGTCTGCCCACCCACTTGATTTGACTCTGAAGAAACCCAAAAAGCAATGTCGGATCTCTTTACCACTTTCGATAGCAACGGCGACGCCGAGCACCACCTGCACCACAACTCCACATCGTCCGCCAGCGGGCACCACCACGACCCACCCATGGCCTCGCCCTCCCAGCACAGTCCGATGACCAACAACAGCAACTCATCCTCGCAGAACGGCGGTCCGGTTTCCGGTTTGGGCACGGGTACGGGTTCGGGCACCCCATCCGGTGGTAGCAAGTCATCCAATCACACAGCATCCGCCGGCGGCTCTGAGAACACCCCCGTAAGCTGCTGGAGTACACCCGTAGTCTTCCTAATCTTACCTAACCATCCTGCCACTTTTTTCAGATGCTCACCAAGCCGCGTCTCACGGAACTGGTCCGGGAGGTGGACACCACCACGCAGCTGGACGAGGATGTCGAAGAGCTGCTGCTCCAGATCATCGACGACTTTGTCGAGGACACTGTGAAGTCAACTAGCGCCTTCGCCAAGCACCGAAAGTCCAACAAGATCGAGGTGCGCGACGTCCAGCTGCACTTCGAGCGCAAGTACAACATGTGGATACCCGGTTTCGGCACGGACGAGCTGCGTCCCTACAAGCGGGCTGCCGTCACGGAGGCTCACAAACAGCGCCTGGCCCTCATCCGGAAGACCATCAAGAAGTACTAGAAAGGATCGAATGAGGCAGGATCGGGTCGAGGCTTGGTGTCGGTTGGCCGGAATTCCGTATGCGTATGCCACCCGCGCACATGCCACAAACTATATTTTAAGCTCCAATGTAGACTAAAGAACAAATTTACCCCGTTCTATCGTAGTTGTAAAGGAATAAAAGTACACACATGATTTTACATTAAACAATTGGGCGCCGTCAAAAACCGTGATCTTTAATAAAACACAATTAAATCGGTGGTATATGTAACGAAAACTTGAGGAATCAATACAAAATTAAATAAAGAAATACCAAATAAACTATCAAAAAAATATCTCGATAGAATTTACTTCAATAATTAAAACTGTTTTTAAATAATAATGGTGTTTAAAAAATCACTGCTTTTTATTCATAACCAATCATTAAACCGTGACTTTTACTGAACGCACCCAAGTTCCGGTATTTGTCTGTCACTTGGTATTTTTGCTCAATGGAGTAAACTGGATTTTACATCTCGCCTCAGGGTCATACCATCAATAATGTTTTTTCTGATTGTTGACTTGGAATTTTCCTAGAAAAGGCTCTTAATTGGCCAAAAAAAAAGGAGCTCGCCATGAAGCTGCCGGTGATTTGTCGCACCTGCGACTCCACGGACACCGACAACCTGCTGAAGCTGGCCACGCCCTCGAAAAAGTATCCGGACAAGCTGCTTTCGGAGATTCTCTGCGAGCTGACGGAAATCAATGTAAACAAAGCTCGGAAAATAAGTTAACCCAAAGATTAAACTGTTCCCTTGGTTTCAGCTGGATGCCAGCGGAAGCCAGAAGCTGCCCCAGTGCTTGTGCAGCGGATGCACCAAGAAACTATTGGGTGCCTATTGCTATGTGAAGCAGGCGCTGGCCGCCAACGAATTGCTGATGAAGCACCTGAGGAACGGAGCTGCTCCTTCGACCACAGACTGCCTGCAGGAGGCACCCATGGAACTGTGTGCCGAGCAGCATGTGGAGGTCAAGCTGGAGACGGAGGACGAGGACTGCGGCGACAACGATGTCAGCATGACTTGCTCCGAGCTCCCGGAACCGGACGAAATGGACGTGGAGAGCAAGAAGTCTGTGGATCCTCTGACAATGATTGAGACGGTGAAGCTTGAAGCGGAACCAAGAAGCGTGCAAAAACCTTTGGAAGACGATCTAGCATCGGACTTTGAAGACGACGAGTGGGTGACACTTAGAACACTCCTTACTGCTTTAATTAACCACAACAAATTGCAGCTCTCTGGATAACCTGCCGTTGGATAAGCGCATTCAACAGTGGAAGACAGGAAGGAAGTCTGTTTTTAAATGCCAGGACTGCCATAGAAGCTTTAAACGAGCCGAGTTCCTAAAACGCCACGAAATCCGCGTACACAAGCAGGATACCCGCTTGTTCGCCTGCTCACTCTGCATTCGGAAGTTCAGCCGCAGCGAAGCCCTCGAAGCGCACTTGAAAGTCCATCGGATCTCCAAGCGATCGGCCAACTTAAGCGAACACAAGAAGGCCAAGGAGGTGGATCTGAATCTCTGCAAGCCGCATGGCTATAAGCTTATTGAGTGCATGATCTGCCAGAGCCAGTACAACAAGATTGCCGATCTGCGGCGGCACTTGGAGGAACACCCCGAGATAGTCAGCCTAGGCGGTCGGCCAAATGTGGAGCCGCACGAGATGGCGGAGCTGTTTTATCCCGACTCCAAGGATCTCGGTGAGGAGCAGTTGATCGGTTTGATTCGCAAGGATTTGGCGGCAGGCATCTATCAGCGTTTCTATTCGATAACCAACCAAAGTGGTTACGAAATGGACCTGGACAGCTCGGAGACGGATAGCGATCTGGACGGAGATCCCGAGGATCAGCAAAAAAGGGGAAAGAAGGCGCGCAAGGCCAGCTACAGCTGCGAACTATGCCAGCAGAAGTTCCCGCGGAAATATCAGCTATATGACCACCAGCGGGAGAACCACAGTTGGTCAGAGGCTCCTCATGTCTGCGGCCGGTGTGATGGACGCTTTGTGAGCCTGCAGCTGCTGCGGCACCACAACGAGTCGCAGTGCCGCAATGCGCAGAAACGTTTTCTCTGTCACAAATGCCCGCTTCGCTTCCGATGGAAACACAACCTGAAAACACACTTCCGCGAGCACAGGATTACAGTGAGTTACTTTGTAATAGAATCTACTAAATAAAACACTACAAGTATCTGCTTTACAGAATCAGACCTTTGAGTGCCCCGAGTGCAAACGGGTCTTTGACAAAAAGAAATCCCTCACAGTTCACCTGCTCAGCGTACATGCAGAGGAATCAAAGCTGATCCCCTGCCAGTGGTGCAGTCGCAAGTTCTACCGACACGACTACTTGGTGAAGCACCTGAAGCGGCACGGACTCAAGGAACAGGACATTCCACTGGCCGAAACCTTGATTGCGGCGACGTCGCGGCCGAATGGAGCAAAGCGCATCACCTGCCGCATGTGCAACCTGCATTTTGAGCGTATTGTGGACCTGAGAGCCCACATTCAGCTGGAGCTAAAGCTTTCTTTGTCCCTGCACCAGAGCTACGACTCCCTACATAATTACTCGATAACAAATGAGTCCGGTTTTGAGCTACAGCTGGAGGATTCGGAGACCGAGGACGAGATACAGCCTAGTGGTGTCAGTCGTCCCGTTTACATCTGCGAGCTGTGCAGTGTGCAATGCAAGCGGAAATTTGAGATGATCCAGCATCAGCGGACGATGCATCGTTTCGACAAAATGCCACACGAGTGCGATGACTGCATTTTCAAGTGTGTGTCCAAGGTGGGTTTTTTGGGTTGCCATTCTCTCCAACACCTTCGTAACTGAACTAATCTTTTAGAGCATTATGGATCACCACCGGCAGGGCCAGTGTAGCAGTACAGAAAAGAAGCATCCTTGCGACAAGTGCTCCTACAAGTTCATGTGGCCCGAGAACCTGGAACAGCACGTTCTTCTGCAGCACAGCCAATCCTCCGCCAGCAATCCGACAGGAGCTAAGCGAACGTCTGGTGCCGGTGACCTGGACAAGGACGCCGCCGAGGACGGGGTGCCGCTGCTGCAGTGTCCGCACTGCGATCGCACCTACCAGATGAAGTCGCGTCTGAACAACCACATCCGCGATGTGCACGTTAACGGCGACCGAAAGCGAAAGGAGGCGGTCAAACGCTTCCTTTGCTCCCTATGCGGCAGGGAGACAGGATCCGCCGCGGCTCTGGTGACCCATATGCGTCGGCACACTGGCGAGAAGCCCTTCAAGTGCGACCTTTGCGAGATGGCCTTCCCACGGCACTCTGAGCTGGCCTCGCATCGCCGAATGCACACCGGCGAGAAGCCGTTCCATTGCACCGTGTGCGGCAAGGACTTCGCCCGCTCCGACAAGCTCAAGCGCCACATGCTCACCCACAGCGGCCTGAAGCCGCACAAGTGTACCTACTGCGAGAAGAGCTACCGCCAGGCCAAGGACCTGAAGCTCCACCTGCAGCAGCACACCGGGGAGTGTCCCTTCGTGTGCGGCACCTGCGGCGAACGCTTCATCCAGAGCAGCACGCTGGAGAAGCACCGGCTGATGCGACGCCACTTCGTCTAGTATAAAAAATGGCATTTATTCTAATGGTCATGGCGGGGCATCTATGAGAAACCATTGCCAAAACAATTTAGATTACAATATAAAAGAGTATATAAGTGAACACAAAAGTACATGTTTTAAAAGGTTACATGGGAAAAACCATATTGTAAGTAAACTTTGGATTTAGCTTGGAATGGCGAGATGTGCCTCACCTACAGCTCTTCAGAACCAGAACGTGGTTCGATTTTGGCCATCTCCGTGTCGAAGAAGAGCACCGCATTGGGGGGAATCTTTCCACCGCCCGCTCCACTGGCTCCATAGCCCAGCTCCGGGGGAATCGTTAGCTTCCGTTGCTCTCCCTCGCACATTCCCAGGATGCCCTGGTCCCAACCCTTGATCACCTGGCGGGCACCAAGGGTGAAGGAGAAGGGAGTGCCGCGGGAGTAGCTGCTGTCGAACTCGGAGCCATCTTGCAGCGTGCCCTGGAAAGTTTCCAAATTCGGGGTTAGGTTTTGGGCTGCTGATGCTCCTTATCTGATCTGCCCTACCCTGTAGTGTACGTGAACCAGGTCACCGTTCTTGGCCTTCCGGGTGCAGTTCTCCACGCGCTTCTTGACCCCAATCTTCACCTTGGGTTCGCTGGCCACAGAGGCTGCCACAAAAACGGTTATTAGGAGAAAATAAGTTAACTTCATCTTATCAGGAGCTTAGCACAAAATCGTATGTTTTAAAAATGAATGTATCCACTGCGAACTGCGACTTTGGTTAATGATTGTCCAACACTTGTTCTGCCTTTCCGTTTAACAACACTATTCGATAATCGATAACGATTGCCAGGCTATTAAGAAAAATAAATAAATAAAACAATTTAAGCAAAATGAGCTCAGGGCCCATGCGTACGCCCGTCTCGCAGATCATCCAAAGCAAGCACGACCAGGATGCGGAGGAGGAGCCCAAAAAGAAGTCCCGCGAGGACTGGCGCAAGGCCAAGGAGCTGGAGGAGGCCCGGAAAGCGGGAACAGCTCCAGCCGCCGTGGACGAAGAGGGTCGCGACATAAATCCGCATATTCCACAATACATATCCAATGCGCCTTGGTACTACGGATCGGCGGGACCTACCCTCAAGCATCAGCGGCCGCAGCACGAGGATGAGCAGGGACAGCTGGACAAGAGGGCTCCCAAGGGACTCAACACGACACGCATCATCACCAAGTTCCGCAAAGGCGCCTGCGAAAACTGCGGTGCGGTTACCCACAAACGCAAGGATTGCCTGGAACGGCCTCGCAAGGTCCAAGCCAAGTATGCCGAGTCCATCGTTGTCCACGACGAGCACTTGGTCAATGAGGCAGCTGTCAACTATGACGAGAAACGTGACCGCTGGAGCAGCTACGATCCAGCCAACCACAGGGAGATCATCGAAGAGTACGAGAAGGTGGAGGAGGCAAAGCGACAGCTCAAGGCAGAGAAGCTCAAAAATGGTAGGATTAACATTAATAAATCCAAAAGTTGTCACTATATCTCTCTTTTCCAAACCCCAGATCCCGATGCCGAAATATCCGATGAGGAGGGCAACGAGGACAAATATGTGGACGAGGTGGACATGCCGGGCACCAAGGTGGACTCCAAACAGCGTATCACGGTGCGCAACCTGCGTATCCGCGAGGACACTGCAAAGTACCTGAGGAACTTGGACCCGAACTCAGCCTACTACGATCCCAAAACGCGCTCCATGCGTGACAATCCCAATCCCGCCGTGCCCGAAGAAGAGTATGTAGCATAATATTATCCAAAAATGTATATTTCCTAACCTTTCATTCTTGCAGAGCTGAGTTTGCCGGCGAGAACTTTGTGCGCTTCTCTGGAGACACCACAGCCCAGGCGACCGCCCAGTTGTTTGCCTGGGAGGCTCATGGCAAGGGAGTTGATGTCCATCTACTGGCCGAACCTACCAAGTTGGAACTACTTCAGAAAGAATACGAGCAAAAGAAGGAACAGTTCAAGTCGAGTGTAAGTTTATCTTTGATCAGAACTCTACAGCACAGTTATTAACACATTTCTTTGGATTTACAGACTAAAACGCACATTGTTGAGAAGTACGGAGGCGAGGAGCACTTGCAGGTGCCGCCAAAGTCGCTGCTGCTGGCCCAGACCGAGGAGTACATCGAGTACTCCCGCAGCGGCAAAGTGATCAAGGGTGTGGAGAAGCCCAAGGCGCGCAGTATCTACGAGGAGGATGTGTACATCAACAACCACACGACCGTTTGGGGCAGCTTCTGGAACGCCGGTCGTTGGGGCTACAAGTGCTGCAAGTCCTTTATCAAGAACTCCTACTGTGTGGGCATGCAGGAGCCGGAGGGCTACTCGGAACAGCATCCCACCAGCTCCAGCACAGTAGCTGCCGCAGAGCCCGCAACCCAAGTTCAATTTAAGGTACCAGAAGTGCCACCAGAAAGGCCCGCCTCCGAAGTAGACTCAGCTCCGAGTTCAGAATCCTCTTCATCTGAAGAGGAGGAAGTAAAACCCGAGAAGAAAAAGTCCAAGAAGAAGTCAAAGAAGCGCGAGAAGAAAAAGAAGGCTAAGGAGCAGCGCAAACAGAAATCCAAGTACAAGGAAGCCAAGGAGGAGGAGGAGAATGCGAAGAAAAGAGAGGTTCCCGAGGAACTTGACGATCGCAAGCGCGCGTACAACAGCATGTACGATGTGAAGGCGCCCACTGAAGACGAGATTGAGGAATGGAAGAAGAAGCGGCCGAGGGAGGAAGATCCCATGCTGCAGTTTATGTAGACAATAAAATACAACTAATCAACTTAAACTTAAACACACTCTTCTCTTTTAAAACAGAAAAAAGCAAGTAGTTAGAGAAACGTCATCTTTAATATTAAACGATGGCGTATTGCTCGTAGAGCAGCTCCCTGATTTTGTAGTACTCCTCGGACAAGCAACCCTCCATGGCCACTTTGCCGGCATCGACGCGTCGCAAAGCCAGAGTTCCATTGCTGCACCAAAGCACGCCGCCAGAAAACTCCGAGTTAATATTGTTGCGCATGAGAATCTGCTTAAAGTCTGACAGCTTCAGTTCGTTAATAAGCACAGAGTTGTGGACCGGAATCTCATCCTCGGCCAGCGTCTCCAGGGTTAAGGTCTTGCCTTCCTGCACGGCGGCGTCCTGCTCCACCGTGACGTCCATGGGTGCTTCGATCGCCTTAACACGCATTCCCAGGCGACCATCCACCCACGCCACCTCCGCGTCCTTGCCCTTTTGGAACTGCAGCTGGGACACAAGACCTTCTGTCAGGCGCACCTGGTAGATGTGGATCTCAGTGGTGACGTCGATGATCTCCCCCTTCTGGGGAGTGAAAACTCGTGCCCCGACATTCTGCTCGCAGTGTTTGGCCACCACCTGGGTGCCCTCCGCATTGCCGTGGATAACAATAACACGCCGTGGTCGCAACTGGGAGAGGATCTTTAGCATGGACTCGCCGTCGGAGCGACCTTCGAAGTCGATCCTCTGGATTTGGGCATTCACCTCGATGGTTTTCCGTTGGTTTATCAGCTTAGTGGGCTTCTCCAGCAGCTGCACATCGTTATCGCCGATGCCACCGTTAGTCTGTTGATCAGCTCCCACGCCTGGTTCCTCCTTCTTTACGTTCTCCTTGTTCTGCTCCTCCATTGGGACGAAATCGTAGCCCGCCGTATCGGCAATGCGGTAATCGTCCAAATTGATGATCTCCCCGTACTCATCGTATTTTACTTTTTCCTCGTGATAGGGAAACATCACATGGTGACGCTTGTTGGACTTAAAAAAGCCGGAATGATGACGACCCTCCGGCCGGACCACAATGTCGTGCTTGCCCGTAATGACGCTCATCTCGATGTCGTCTTCGGACTCGGAACTGCTCTCCTCCTCAACATCGGGCTTTACGATAAGGGGATTAAGCTTCTCGCCCTGTGTGCGAATGTATTCCTCTAGCTCGGCGCCTTCCAATTCAACTCTTCGCCTGACGTCCAACTCGATTTGCTTGCCCGGCGTGCAGTTCTCCACCAGTTCCATGGCCAAAGTGCCGGGAGAGGTGCGAGTGGTCAGGATAATGCTGTTGTTGGCATTGCTGGCCCATTGCACAAAGAGGTCTCTTGTGAATCCGCTCTCCAAGTCTGGAGTGCTGGCCAGCACTACTTTTGGACCGGCCGGCAGCTTATAGACATCCGCCAGCGAGTGACAAAGCTGGATGTGCTTAAACTGGAAGGGATTGTTGCGAGCTCCCTCGAATGCCTTTGTGAGTTTATCGCTCATCCACTCGATCTGGGATTTGGCGAACTCAATCACGTTGTAGCTCACATTGTTGAGGAGGGCCAGTGAGTAGGCCATCAGACCAGATTCCTTGTTTTTCCACAGTTGGTCCAACATGTGGGCCAGCTCAAGGACACGTCCTGCTGTGTCCACGGCTATCAGTACATTGCCATTATTACGCACCGTTTGCAGGATGTTTGTCATTAGCTTTTCATCGCGGGCTCTCCTTCTAGCTTGCTGGTACTGTGCATTGTAGGCATCGGTGATGAGGAGCGATGGTCTTTGTAGCCTGTCCAGCTCACAGCCGCTCAAGTGACGCTCTTTCTTGTGATTGAAGTCGGTGGCATAGACTATATCCTCCTCACCCACTTTGACAATCTTCCAGATGGTCCCGCCGATCATGTGTCCTGCATTCAAGGGCGTTATGGATATGCCATAACCCTTGCCCTTCAACGAAACCGTTTGGTTGTACTTCAGCTGGGTGATCTTCTCGAAGGCCGTGTCCACGTCGTCCAGCGAGAAGAGATCGAAGTCGCCCATGTTGAAGTGCGACATGTACAGGTCGTACATGAACATTTGGCCCATTTTGAACACGGGAATGGTGGCGTATATGGGGCAATTCAGTCCCAGCTTGCCGACCAAGTATGGCAGTGCGCCCAGGTGATATGCATCCGGATGGGAAAGCAAGACGGCATCCAGGGTGTGCACCTGCCTGAGAATAATAAAAACTGTAACATTGTTACCCCAATAGGCCTTGAGTTTACCTCTTTAGTTCCTTGATGAAGTTGGCATCAAACTTTTCGTCCCACCCGCAGTCGAGCAAAATCCGGACATCGTCTATCTGAAGAATGTAGCACGGCGGCGACTCGTCCATTGCCCCGGATATAGTGTGCAGCTTGATAATGGACGTCATTTTAAGCAATTAAACCGCCTGCACATCAAAAACAAGAAAATTAAGTATAAAACTCGCAGTTCTCCGCCGGTCCAGGGATGCAAAACAAACTGTCACAGCGTTGCCATTTGCCATTGCCATTGTTTACACAGTGAATATCAGTTATACATACATATATCACTTTTCAAAATATAAATTGGAATATTCAAGTTAAAGACATAATTAAAGTGTATAACGAAATGCACCAATAAATACAAAATTTATGTTTAAACGAATTTTTTTTACAACCTAATAATGGGTAACTAAGTATTCAATTCGCCTTACAGCGTCTTCACTGTGGATGATGAGTGACGCCCTGGCCGTCAGCTGTTATTCGTCAAGCGCCCGCGATTCTCGATTGCGTCCGCTATTAGGATGCGGAATTCCCACAGATACCGCTGAGTCAAGAGTTCCTGCCAACGATGTTCGTGCGGCTCTGGCTCCGGAGCTTCCACATCTATGACCTGCTCCTCGCCATCGGGCTGATCACCCTCATCGTGTACTTGTGCCTGCCCTTCCGGTTTGCCTCCCACTACGAGTACATCGAGGAATCGAGGATCGAGGAGGCTCTGCTGACGCAGGTGACCAGGAATGTGTCTCTGCAGGAGGTCTTCGAATGCGACTACTCGGAGATCATTGCGAGAACAGGTTTGTCTACCACCTGGCCCACTACCACGACTCGGTGCAGAGGGGCGCGGAAATTCATCCTGGAGGCGAATTCCGTCCGGAAGGATGTCAGGCACGCTACAGCACCGCCATTATTGTGCCGTACAGGCAGCGGGAGGAGCAGCTGCACGCCTTCCTCACCTACATGCACAATTACCTGCCCCAGCAGCTGATCCACTATCGGATTTTCCTGGTCGAGCAGTTCGATCACAAGCCCTTCAACCGAGCGATGCTCTTCAACATCGGCGCCCAGGTGGCGGCCGAGTATGGATTCCCTTGCCTGATCCTTCACGACGTGGACCTGCTGCCCCTGAACTCGGGTCAGATTTACGCCTGCACCGAGCGGCCACGTCACATGTGCTCCGCCCTGGATCACTGGCGATTCCGACTGCCCTATCGCGGTCTCTTTGGCGGCGTGGTGGCCATCAACACCGTCCAGTTCCAGCAGATCAACGGGATGTCCAATCTGTATCACGGCTGGGGCGGAGAGGACGACGATCTCTACGAGCGTCTGCAGGCGAAGAGCATCGATATCTGTCGATTCGCGATGGAGTTCAGTGAGTACACCATGCTGAAGCACAAGCCGGAGCGGCCCAATGCCAACAGGGTGGCGCTACTGAGGGCGGCGACTATGCGCCAGCACTCGGACGGACTCAACTCGCTGGTGTACAAGGAGGTGGAGCGGCGAATGCACAGCCTGTTTACCCACATCCTGGTGGAGACCTGAGAGCCAGTAATTGTTATATTTTAGCTTGTAGGCCAAACGTTTAAATAGTCGGTACCTCTAATTGTTTTACACATGGGTGCACTTAGCTTAGCATCCGATTAGCTGCCGCCTTAGACAATGCGTTCCGAATCGATCGTGATATCTCACCACTAGGCTAAGAAGCTGGAAAGGAAGGGAGTAGTCGAAGCTGTAATTGAAGTACAATGCAGATGTATGAGATTAACCGGGTATCGCCATGTTAAGCACGCTCTGCCTCTGCCAAAAATAAATGGAGTAAAATGTGAAATGCAATGTGTTTTCTTTTGGAAACTCGATTATAATTATATTTAAAATGTTAATGTTAATATTGTCTAAATAGAATTCAAAAAGTCTATTCAAAATTCAGAGTTGCTTAGAATTAAGTTATCGCACCATCCAAAATCAAATTTGTGTTCATTCTATTATCTTGACACTTGGACTTCGTTGTCTCGTCGCTTTTTATGTAGGCCTCAGTACCCTATTACAATCTCTGGTGTAATCAACTATGGGTTTTCTAGGCGCATTGGCTAAAACACTTATTTTTGTGGCTCTTTTCTTGGCAGCATTAGTTCTGCTCCCCGGATTACCTCCTAACACCACTTTTCCCTTTAAGGAATATGAGTAAGATGGAAATCCACTAAAGGGTTAAAAATATTAACTAAACCTATTTGTGATTCGCAGTATTAAGCCACCAAGGGAACTAAAGGGAGTGTTGCAGCCAAACTTTCAGTTAGATGGTGCCCGGCAGTTGTGGAAGGATCGGATCTTTGGACCAGAGTGTCTTCTAGCTTTTGGCGACAAGATATTCACGGGCATTCATAGTGGAGAGGTCCTTGAACTCAACAATGAAGAAACTATTAGGCCCATCACAAAAATAGGTCAACCTTGTGGTATGAAACCATGTGTGGGCACAATTATCTATAATGCTGATAATATTCTCCCTAGATTATATCTTTGACGATGAGCTCTGTGGCTATCCTGTGGGCTTGGCCTTGGATACCCAAGGAAACAATCTGATTGTAGCCGATTCGTACTACGGAATATGGCAAGTTGACTTAGGTACAAAGGAGAAGACCAATTTGGTGTCCACTGAGCAGATCCTGCCTGGCAAAAGTGTTAACCGAAAGGCTAGGCTGTTTAATTCATTGGCAGTTAGCCGGAAGGGAGAAATTTACTGGACAGATTCTTTGTCAGACGACTTTGTCTTGGCTCCGTTCGCTAACCCATCAGGCCGGTGAGTTTCATTCATAAGATATCTACTTAATACAGTAATAGCATATATCCCTTCCTTAGACTTTTCAAATACAACTGGGAAAAGAAGACAAACGAGGTACTCCTGGATGAGTTAGCCTTTGCCAACGGCTTGGCTTTAAGTCCAGATGAGGATTTTATAATCCTAGCCGAAACGACGGCCATGCGTCTAACCAAGTACTACCTCAAAGGATCTCGGGCGGGTCAGAGTGAAGTGTTTGTGGATGGTTTGCCTGGATGGCCGGATAATCTCACCGGAGATAATGAAGGAATTTGGGTTCCTTTGTCCGTGGCTTCAGATAGTGAGAATCCTAATTTGTTCGCCTCTTTGGCACCCTATCCGCGGCTACGATCCTTCCTCGCTCGTCTGATGGGCCTAATGCAGCTTCCCTTTCGAATTTCTAACAAAATATATCCCAACAATATTTCGGCACGACTTTTCCACTCTTTTAATGAGATGGCCACTAATAATGCTCCAAATCGAAGCACTGTGGTTCGTCTGGATTGGAACGGAAATATTGTGAGATCCTTGCATGGTTTTGATAGATCAGCATCAGGCTTATCTCATGTTTTGGAAATTAAAGGACACTTATTCTTGGGATCGCCATTTAATCAATATATTGCTAAAGTTAAGCTACCCGAAAATGTGGTGAAGTCTGTGAAAGGAACTGAAGCTAAGGAAGATCAACTTATATAGTTATTTTTAGCATTAGTTTTAGTTCCCTAATTCCCTGTAAATTTGAATACCTGTTAAATAAACATATACTTTAACAGTAGAGTTGTTTTGTATTAAGTTATCGCACAAATCGAATCTAAATACCATATGATCGTTGCGAAATTTCGTTCCACAATCATGACTATTGGAACTGGTCACTTCTTATCTGGGCCCCTTTCAATAACAATTGCCAGTGAAGTAAGACATGGGTGTTCTGAGCTCATTACGCAGAATAACTACTTATTTAATCATTTTCTTGGGAGCCGTATTCCTTCTTCCAGGATTACCTCCAAGCACCACTTTCCCCTTCAAAGAATATTTGTAAGTATGTTATTTTCAGGTATTACCAAACTTGTTAGCTTTCTTATTTTCCGCAGTGTAAGGCCTCCCAGAGAATTGAAGGGAACGTTACAACCGAATTTTCTCCTGGATGGTGCTAGGCATTTGTGGAAGGATCAAGTTTTCGGTCCTGAGAGTCTGATATTAAGAGATGAAGATGAAGGAATCTATGCGGGTATTCATGGCGGAGAGGTTGTCCTGATAAATAATAATTCTGTTACGCCAATCACAAAGATAGGACAACCTTGTGGTACGTAAAAACATAGATCATGTTTTTTGAGTATATATATAATTACCCCCCATAGACTACATTTTTGATGATGCGCTATGTGGCTACCCTTTGGGATTGGCCTTTGACACCCAGGGAAATAATCTGATTATAGCCGATGCACATTACGGAATCTGGCAAGTCAATTTAGAGACAAAAGTGAAGACCATGTTAGTCTCTCCAAAAGAGATCCTCCCTGGCAAGAGTGTGCATCGTCCGGGTAAGCTGTATAATTCTGTGGCAGTTAGCAAGGAAGGTGACATTTACTGGACCGACTCTGTATCCGAAGACTTGCCCTTCATTGCTTTTGCTAATCCTTCAGGACGGTAAGTTTCCAATAGAATATAACTTTATATGCAGAAGATAAATTTCCCTTCTCTTTAAAGTCTTTTTAGATATAATCGTGAAACGAAAAGGAATGAGCTTCTCCTTGATGAGTTGGCCATGGCCAACGGATTGGCTCTAAGTCCCAATGAGGATTTTGTCATCGTGGCCGAAACGGCTGCTATGCGAATAACCAAATATTTTCTTAAGGGATCCCGCAAGGGGCAGAGTGAAGTATTTGTGGACAGTTTGCCTGGTTTGCCGGATAACTTGACCCCCGATTCTGAGGGCATTTGGGTGCCTTTTGCCTTAGCTGCCGATAGTGAGAACCCCAATCCGTTTTCCGGATTGGCGCGTTATCCAACGTTAAGATTTTTCCTCGCCCGTCTGGTGGCCCTAATGTTGCTACCCTTCCGATTCTTAAACAATATATATCCCGGCAATATTTCTGCTCATCTGATGCATTCGTTTACTGAGTGGGTCAGCAACAACTCGCCGAATCGCACCACTGTACTGCGCTTGGATTGGAATGGAAAAATCGTGAGATCCTTGCATGGTTTCGATAGATCTGCTACTGGTATATCGCATGTCCTGGAATTTAAAGGCTACTTGTATTTCGGATCACCAACAAATCCATATATCACACAAGTTAAATTGACCGACGATGTAGAAGGGTCTATAAAATAATTATAAATCAATTAATATGTATATAATCGTGTTATCAAAAAACAAAAAATAAATAATTTGATATTTGTCTGAAGAACTAAGATACGAATATTTGAAAGGAACTCCTAAACAAAAATAAGTATAGGATTTAATCACACCGAAACCCGTTTCGTTAATTTGATATATTTTGTAAAATATAGGTAAGGAGCAATTGCACAGAACATAGTTGGTTGGCTTTTGTCTAGCTAATAATAATACATATTCTATTTAACTACATGCATTCGTTTCGTTTCACATTTGATATCGATTGCGGAATGTGGCAACGAGCAAGAGTCCTAAAGACTTGTGTTAAAATCTACATAATATAATTTAAAACATTTCTAACAAACACGCACACACACATAGACGGGACATTCACACACTTGCACAGATAAATGTATATGTATAAATATTTGTGAGTATCAGGTTGGGTCGTTTTGCATGATTGCCAGTGAATTAAAATTCTATGTGCAAAAAGTAATAAATGAATGTGCTCAACCAATTGTGACTTCCCAAAGATTACTTTTGGCCCTTAGAATTCTGTGACGCGCAAAGCGACGCAACCTGGTAACTATAGTTTGCCTTGTATATTAAATATATGGAATATGGAGTTCTATCAATTGTTATTGGCTACGACTGTGTCTAGTTCAAGAAGTTAAGTATGTCTTGCTGGGAGAGTGCGTTGAGGTTCTGGTTATCCGCCGGCAACAGCGGCTGTGTCTGCGGTTGTAGCGTAGGAGCTTGTCTGGGCTTTCCCAGAAGTTGCTGCTGCTGCTGCTGCTGGATGTTATTCAGACTATACCCAGTTGGATAGATGTAGTTTACCGTGGGCTGCTGCAGCGTATACATATTGGCACCGTTTGTGTTGCTGGGCTTTGGAGCTCCAATAGCGGGTCTTCCGCCAGCGAAGGGATCCAGGTCGTCCAGCGAAAAGGAATTGTTGTTGCTGGCTTGCGGCGAGGCCAGTTGATGGTTCATCACCAGAGGATTCGCACTGTGCCAACCATTGTTGGTCTGCATTTGTTGTGTGGGAGCTGAGGCAGGTGGAGCTGTCACTGCTGTTGTCCCCAGACCAGTGAGGTTGCTCTGCATCATTGAAGACAGAATATCTGGCCTGGCTCCTGGCGGCGCCGATATAGTATTGTGCGATATTCTGGAATTACAAAGGAGTTTCTTGAGTTTCAACTGCATTTCTTCGGTTCCTTCTTAGTGGACTCCTACTTGAGCTGTTCTCTGGTCTTGACCGGTGCCAGCGGAGCGGCTGTGGAGGCATTTGGCTGGCCCACAGTGAATCCGGAGAACATGTCATCGTTCATCTTGTTTCCATTACCGGAACCATTGGAGGAGATAGTAGAGCTCTCCAGCTCATTGGCCAATATTTCGGAAGCATCTTTGGGTCTGTTTGGGGCAAATATTATTTTAAAATTCATTTTTAGGAAAATTCATCTAGCTTACTTATTGTCTCTCTGTATGGTGGACAGTTGCTGCAGTTTTTCCCGCTGCTCCTGCTCCACGCGGCCCAGCATCTCCTTGATCAGGGCTATAATCGTATTAAATTGCACTATGGTGAGGCCGTTCTCTACACTTAAAGGCACTAGATATGGAATGCATTTATGTGCCATCACGTCCTTTGTTATGCCCAGTTTGGTGTTGGTCATGGCGATTTTGTAGATGCCTAGAAGGGTCAAAGAGCCAATTAATACAAATCATTGTGAAAGTTTCTATCGATCTAAAATCTCACCTATAATTCCCATAATGATGGCTGGCTCGCGGCTTTGAATTTGCTGCAAAAAGGGCAGAATCTCGTCCAGCACCAGCCACTTGTCTAAATTTTCTAAGAGCTTGCCGATTGATATCAGGCAGTTAACCTTTACCGACACATTGCTGCTTTGCAGGCACAATTTCTTGATGCGCGGCAGCACCGAGTTCTTCATTGCGTTGTAGTCGATCAGAGTGGAGAATGTGGGGAGGACAGCGAGACAGAGATCTTGAATTTGGGGCATGTCGCATTCCAGGGATCGATACAACAGCGGCAGCACACTCTGCTTCACCTCTTCCGCCGGCGTGAGCTTCAACAGCAGATCCATTTTTTGCATAAAGATTAGCAAGATCTGAATGGGATCGGTTAGCTTGAAGATCGGTTTCAGGTGCGGGAGGATGTGGTCGCAGTACTCCCGCTGGCTGCTCATCTCCGCGATGAGCAGGACATTGGGCAGCACAAACGGAATCATCGGCGAGTTGACGAATTCCTTGACCAGATAGGGTAGGATCGAGTGTAAATTGACGCGGTGTGGAAGAGTCGGAATGATCTGCGGCAGGCCCTTGTAGAACTTGGACTTCTGCAGGTTGTCCCACTGATATAGCGAGTCCAAATAGCTGAGTGTCTTAACCCCGACATCCTGAAAGTATGCGATCTGCTTGAGTTCATGCAGCTTCGGGCGCAGGCTGGCACTGGGATGCAGTAGCGCTTTGAGGCTCTCGGTCAGCTCGCTGGGCACCGCGTTCATGGGTGGATACTTCCGCTGGTTCAGATCGTTAGCGTAGCGCCGAAAGCTGCTGTAATCGCTCCCAAACATCTTCAGCGGCTTGCCGGCATAGATGGTGAAGATAAGCACGCCTATATTGGATGGATTTTTATAATATATTAGTTTTTGTCAAAAAAGATAAACTACCTATTTTATCATAAATCATATCTATTTTAAAAGGATTTTGTTTAAATTATCAACAAAAACTTTGGCGATTATGACTCACTGGAAAAAATTAGGCATAGACAAAAATAGAATTGAATGTATGCTGGTAGAGTATAGCAAAACAACCATGTAAAAAAATAAGCAATAAAACTAACTACAAATAACAGCCAAGCTCGTATACATAAATGGGTAACTTATTGATTGCTTACCCAACGAAAAGAGATCACTGTCAGGGGTGTTGATACTGTTTAGAGCCAACTCCGGCGCCGTATACTCCAGACTGGGCTGTGCCAGGACGTGCAGTGAAGTGGTGTACTCCCGGAAGGGCCAGTGGGGCGTGCCGTCGGTGGCTGGTTGGTTGGCGATGCAAAAATCAAAACCGAAGAGCTTCCAACTGCGGTTCTTGTTGATCACGATCGTCTCGGCGCTGATGTTGCGGTGCACAATCTTGGCATCCTGGTGAAGGAACTGCAGGCCATCGAAGAGCTGCAGCAGACCGTGTCGGATTTCCACATCGTACAGCTTCTTCTCGGAGCGCACATTGTCGCCCACTACGTTGGCCAATGAGGCGAACACGGGCTCCGTGGCAAAGGCCAGGGAATCCCGACTCTCCTCCAGTGGATGCTGTACGGTTAAAACATGCGGATGACGAATCTTGGTGAGCTGCTGAA